AAAGAATATCTGGAGAAAGTGTCTGATCTCATAACGCGAACAAATAAAAGGTAAGATTTTGAGACTGTGATTCTGTAAAGCTTCTGATGCAACATTTACAGATAATTACTGTTTATAGAAACATATTTGTCATTCTTATTACTGGCTTTCAAATGTTGTATGTATAGAATGTTGTGGTGTCATCTGAAACCAAGAAATATAAGATCTAAAAATGTTTTTGTTGTTTTAGTCTCCTAAATAACTACATGATAATGAAGGTGGTGAGGAAGATGGTGTCCATTTTAGACCAAAGGTTTCAGGATGCTGAGCAGCGCTTCCTAGAAGTAATGTATGGAACCAAAAAGGTGAGAGCTTGAGGGAATTTAATTCACAAAGACTATATTAACACAAGACAGACACTGTCATCTCTGGGATACACAAAGTATACAGAGAACAGTTTGTAGTATATACTAACAGAGGATGTGGCTTGAGGCAAAACAGATGTCTTTTCACTTATTCCTGTGTGGGGCATTCAGCATGGAAATATTTATTCTAAATGTTGAAACATATAGAGAATGCAGTTAGTATTTGTTCAGTTGATTTTTATAGAGTACCACTCGAGAAGAATTATCCAATTTTTTTTATAGGTTTTAATAGTGGTACGGATTTATCAATGTTGCAGTTATACAATTTCAATATCCACTTCAATATCCACCATTAACTAATACATTTGCTTAGATAGTTATATAAATATGATTAACTGTCTGTTTCATTTTTAACCATTAGTGTCTTTTTTAGAGTTGTACTCCTCGTTGGAAGCTGTGCGTTAGTGATACAGACAGCGCCCTTGGTTTTGCTCTTGGTGCTATGTTTGTCAAAGCTACCTTTGCTGAGGACAGCAAAACCATTGTAAGAGTTGATTGTAAGTTGCTGCTAGTCTGATGTCAGATAATAACTTTCTGGCTATTTTTTCAGGCTGAAAATATGGTTGGAGAAATCAAATGGGCATTTGAGGATAGCCTGAAGGACGTGAATTGGATGGATGCAGAAACTAAAAAAGCTGCAAAAGAAAAGGTGGGAAACTATTTCATCCTGAAACAGTGGAGTGCCACCTGCTGTTTCAGGTCTTTAACAAACCTTTAAATGTTTTGTCTCATAGGCAGATGCAATTTACAACATGGTTGGATATCCAGAGTTTATAATGAATGCCACAAAGCTGGACACTGTATTCAATGATGTAGGTAATAGATTATATCAACCAGTGAAATGTTTTTTGAAAACATTTTTGAAATTTGTTATTTTATCTACTTATAATAATAGAATTATATTTCTTTCAGTTCGAAGTGGTCTCTGATCTTTACTTCCAAAACGTTATGCAATACTACAACTTCTCAGGCAGAGTGACGGCTGACCAGTTAAGGAAAGCCCCCAACAGAAACCAGTAAGTTTGGTGAAAAATGCAAGTACCTTTTACAATTTCAAAACAAGTGTATGTAAAAATTCAGTTTGTCCTCACTGATGGTAACCTTGGTTTCAATTTCCACCATTCAAAAGAATATTTCTTTTGAATTGCTAATTGCACTGGCAAATGGTCCTAATTTTGTCAGCCTCAAACCTATGGATCTATCAGTATTTATTTGTTCCATCCAGAGACCATCATGTGTTCCCAAGCTAGGAAATACTGTTGTCCTACAAACTGTCAAGTATTTTTGCAAGACAAAACACTGACATTGCATTGGCCTTTTTTAACTAAACAGTTTTTCTACAGATGGAGCATGACCCCTCCAACTGTGAATGCATACTACAATCCTACAAAGAATGAGATGGTTTTGCCTGCAGGGATTCTTCAAGCACCTTTCTACAGCCGAACATGGCCTAAGTATGTTACATTTATTTTCACTTTGATGATGGTTAACCGAAAAGCTACCTTTATTACAAAAGTATATTAAATAAGATTAGTAACAAAAACATCATAGAAGATATGCTGAAACTTGCTTACTAGTTTATTTTTGCACACCATTGTAACTTGATAAATTACAATAATGCATTTTTGCAGGGCTTTAAACTTTGGAGGTATTGGAGTAGTGATGGGACATGAACTGACTCATGCTTTTGATGACCAAGGTTAGTTTTAATAAAATAATTTCTGCTAAAGCTGAACTACTTGCAGTTAATAACACATCTGTAATTGAGTTTGTTATCTCATTCTACTCTCCAGATCCTACTGCATCTTTAGGTGTCAGTGGTTCTGTCCTCAACCAATCTTTTTTTTTTTTTACATTAAAAAACTGCAAACTGCCCCTGTCTTCCTTTTGACGTAGGCAGTTAAATTGTAGAAATGTCTTTTAAAATGCCCCGACAAGCCTTTGGTGCTATCATTTCTGTCTTATTCCAAAGGATTAGATGTCTGTATAATCCCTCTTTGTCCAATCATCCAAGTATGATAGTAAAAGAAAAAATTAATTCTGTCAACTGGACAAAAGTTTTAGAGTGAAGACATTTTCATTGCTCATTCAAGCAACTTCTTCAGTTCTTGGATGACCGGCGAATCATCTTCACTCTAAAACTTTTGTTTAATTTTTTGTTTGCTACAAAGGATTAAAATTTAAAAAACAAAAAATATATATATTTTTTTAACTAGGCTCTATTTTTCTCTTCCTTTTAAGATGCTGTTGCAACAAACCCATTCTATTTAGAAAAGGAGTTTGTGATTCAATTTATCAGTACAGCCCACAATATTTAAGTTATTCTATTATTGTTCATCTCTGTCAATGTACTCAGACCATTGTCAACACTTTGTTTCAAAGGCCGTGAATATGATAAAGATGGAAACCTGCGTTCTTGGTGGAAAAACTCATCTGTAGAGTCTTTTAAGAAGCAGGCCCAGTGTATGGTTGAGCAGTATGGAAACTACAGCATCAACAATGAGCCACTCAATGGACGACACACATTAGGAGAGAACATTGCAGACAACGGTGGACTTAAATCTGCTTACAAAGTATGTATTGATGCAGATGTGAGAATGTGAGAAAATTAAATCAAATAGAACAGCAGCACATCTGTGCATATACATTATAAAGATATTATACTCAGCCTATTATAATATAAGTATTAGTATAGTATTTAATAAATTATATAGTCTTAGTATTTTTACTATATGGCAAGTATGCTCTTGAGGCTCTTGTGGATGCGATTAGTTGATCAGTATTGGAAAAGGTTCCCGGATTTACTAGGAAGCCTGGAAATATAGTATAACAGGTGGCCATGAGTGGCCTTGTCACCTTATGATTACGTCTCATGCACATTCTTTCCATGTAATCAAAGGTCATAGACTGAGAGTCAGATGAGTCAGTCTTCTGCAGTGGAAGCAGTCTGGACTATGTCAGTCAAATATCTTTACAAAGACATCAGACACATTCTTCAAACAAAATAAATCTGTGATAGTCTTTGTGTAACTTCACCACTTTTGATCTTTCAAGGCTTATGTAAAATGGATTGAAAAACACGGCGAAGAGCCTACTCTGCCAGCCCTTGGAATGACAAACCATCAACTGTTTTTTGTAGGATTTGCCCAGGTTGTGTATCAAATTGGTAAACATCACATTATGCTTACTTGTCATGCATTATGTAAATTGTCATTGTTTCTCTATTATACAGGTATGGTGCTCAGTCAGGACACCAGAAAGTTCACATGAAGGAGTGATCACCGACCCCCACAGCCCATCTAGATTTAGAGTTGTTGGGACTATTTCAAATTCACCTGAATTTTCAAAGCACTTTGGCTGCAAAGCAGATGCACCAATGAACCCTAAACACAAGTGTGAGCTTTGGTGATACTGCATAATGGTTTGTCGGTTAGGGAAGGAAAAGAACATTTGGGACAAAGTCATACAGCTTTCTCCTCACTGAAAACTTGTATACCACTGAAAAGTCTTCGGCCTTACCACATGATGTACATTATAACACACTTTGCTTGTAATTTTTGAGAGACTGCGGTTCATATGTTTTGCCAGTTGTCTTGGGGGATTTCTTCAACGTCTAGGTTAAATGCTTTACACACTGGAAGTGGCACTGGAACACTGCTTTTTATTTCAGCTTGGGAGAACCACTGATGGATACCACTGCATGTCTGTGACAGTGATATGCAAATCATACTGTGTATATTCCTTGTTTGTCACTGTGCTATATTTCTTAACATATTTTATAGTTTATATTGTCTATAGTGACATAGTCCCACTATATTTTAAATTGTGTTTTAGGGACCAAAACTTGTTCTTGCTGAATGTCAGATAGGGGCACTTTACACCATTTATTAAAAAATGTCTTACATTACATCAGCTTTTCAAGCTAATTTGTTTGAGCCTGTCGTTGTTAATGTTTTCATCCCCCCCAATTTTTTTTGTTTTGTTTTGTTTACAAATGCCTTTATTTTGAGTTGTGAATTCACCTACTTGCATTACTTGCATATGTTCAGTCCATTTTTGTGAATTTGTAATAAATTATTTTTGTAGAGTAAAACAAGTATAAATATTTTTGGATCATATTGTGTTTATCTATCTATCGATATAGATATATAGAGTACAAATTATAAAGTAAAATACTATTACTGAAGTGTTAAAGCTAACAGTAGATGGCGATCGTGTTACATACTTGTGTGGGAATGCGGTCACAAAATAATTGTTTATACCTTTGTTATACTATGTTTTAGTGTGTTAAATAAAATAAAATAGATATATACATATTTTACTTATATTGCACTCTAAAGTGCAATGCATATCACTCGTTTGTTAATGATAATACAATTATTTATTTCATCATAATATTTGTATGTATATATAAATATAATTTATATATACAAATCTAATTTAAATTTTACAAATCACATTTTGTCTTTGTCAACAATGCTGAAAGGTTAGTAAATCTACTTTATCTTCGTTTGACTGATGTTTAGTGGATGAGACGAGTGTATCCGTAATTGGCCGAGAACTGCCGAATCATCTGTCCTGCCCGGACTGCTGGAAGCGGCCGCAACGCCATGTTGGCGAAGTCTCTCATCTCTGTGAGAAAAATGATAGAAACAACATTTATTGAGAGGAAGAGGTAAATCGCCGTGGGACTCTGAAGATCGCGGCGATTATTTCTTTTAAAAGAAACGAACCGAACCGGATCCGCTGAGGTTCCGGACGGGCGAGGGAGGCTAACCTCCCGCCGTCCCCATGAATAGCACCGCTGATCCGAACAGCGACTTTTCATGAAAAAGAACGTTTGTGTTGCTATTTGAGCTTCGTTATCCCAGTTCGTTAAAGGGATTTGGGGCCTTCAATATTTTTGCTACGGTTGCTCAATGCATGCAAGCTAGGCGTTGTTTATAACAGTATTTATTTGTGGGTATTATTTTATTTGTTGCGATGAGTTTGCAACCGAAAGTGGTCTCCAAGCCCACCGCTGTCGCAGTTAGCGGACCTGGAAGTGGCCCCTCTCCGTCGAACCAACAACGGGCTTCCCTGCCGCCGGGAGCTCCAGCCGCTCCACAGCCCGCTGCTGTCCCGCCGCCGCAGTATCCTTTGACATGGGCAGTGTGAGAGTGTGATCGCGTGTGTTTGATTGCAACTAATGACATTTACAAACATCCGTTTTATTGGTGGGGAACCATAAGGCTGAATGCGGGTATCTTGGTTTGGCAGAGGGGGTTCTGTGAGGGGAGGGTACCATTAGCATCAGGTTAGCACTTTAGCTCAGCATGCTAAATTAATGCTAACGTTAGCTTATGGAGCCGGTTGGCTTCTACTGCCCCAATGACTACAACTCGCTGTAAAAGCTAACGGAAATAGCAGCTTGATTCAGGAATTTTGTACACCTTATCACGAATATGTTTAATTAACACGACAAATTCAGCCCATTCATGTTTAAATGTATAATACAAGTAACAAGTCGCTGTTCTTTATAGCCAAGCTGAGCTGCGTTTCTTACCGGTGACCGGCTTTGTTCACTTATTGTGTTTGGCTAACTTAAATTAGCCCAGTTACTGTACAAGTGAAAGCATCTTCGTTTGTGCACGACACCACGAGACATGGCAGGTGCTCTCTTTTAGGCTGACTTCTTTTTTAGCTTCAAATCTGTTTGTAATCGTTCAACGGCAATTGTGTCAAATTGCATATTGATTACGTGTGCGCTACCAAGGTTGTAATATTATGATGTTTTTAATTTCATTGTTTATTCTTCGCATGTGAATAACTTGCCCCTTGAAGATCCAATTGCATTTACTGGCCTCCTTGCAGAGACATAAAGTCACAGTGGTTATGTCACCTTCTGTTTTATTTACAGTGTGGCGCAGGATTGGTGATATCTGGAAGATTGGGTGAACTTAATTTCTGTTGCAGCATTCCAAGAGTTGTCTTTGATGACATTTGAGTAATAGCTACTTGATGGCAGTAGACATTATTATTGTGTATGTCTGTTTTAGCTGATTTGCTTAACTGCATCTGTGTATTCTGAAAGCATTCCCAAAACTTTATTATGAGAAACATGATGCATAAGTTTACTGACTCTAATTATGCCATTTTGGTTATTGGCTATATTGGCATATAAATTTACGCAAACGGTGGCCCATATATTGCTGTATATTTAAATCTTTTTAGAAGGGTAAAGAACTGCCATATTAACAGTTCACAGCAGTGCAACTAGCATCATCTTGTTGTGTTTGGGAATCTTTATACAGAGCCATTAGATGTAGATGAGACTGCATAGTGAGGCATGTGTGCAGTGCAGGGAGGGGGTAGCTTGTGTTCCTGGTTGCCGGAGAAACACCTAGCGCATGCGTCTGCTGCTGCACTTGCCAGACAATGGGAGCACTGCTTAACATTCAGAGCGAGAGGCCAAGGTGGTGCTTCCCACCATCTGCCAACAAAAGCTCAGGTCACTCAGGCTGGCTAGCCCTCCCTCGTTTCCGTACATCCCCCAGAGCTCACCTCGGGCACAGCTGACAAAGTTTTGGGCATCTCCATATTGTAACCTCTCCTTTGTTAGATTTCTGTATCCTGTCATATCTAGATCTTTTATAAAGGATCCTTTCCCTATTTACTCCATGCCATATCATCTAGTTTGCATTCAGTTTTTCTATTTCAGCAACAAATCTACCTTGTGTCTCACACTGATTTCAGGATTGGTGTAGAAGAGCCTCTATGCTATAAAACTACATAAATTAAGAAGTTGGTTAAAAATAAGTTAGTGTGAGCAAGCGAGGTGCATTGTACAATAAACGATAGGACTATCATATTGTTGGAGTTATTCCCAAAAGCATGTTTGCCATATTGGTAGATGATATTAATAATTTCCAAATTCCTACACACATTTTTTTATACTGAAACCAATGCTGTAGTTTAATTCTACTCATAGATTATTTCTCATCATTGGATTGTAAGTTGAATTTGCCATCTATTGTTTGGGCTGTAGTGAAAAAGCAGCCTCAGCACCAGCAGGCAGGCAGTGACAGCTTTGTTAGCTCTGCTTTTATCCAACTGTGTGTGTGTGTGTGTGTGGATGTGTGTGTGTGTGTGTGGATGTGTGCGTGTCTGTGAGCGTGAAAGAATGGGCACTAGTCAAGCGGGGAAAAGGAAGGTTTGTGTCTGCACCATCTGGGCTGTCTCTACTCACTTCCTGTGCTTCAGTTATGTACAGGGGATGGTGATCGTACACTAAGCATTGCAGTAGGCAACCTTTAAACAGTTGGTTGTACGGGTAGATTAAAGACAGATTATTTGGGATATCAAAATATTATAAATTTACCCTTCCTAGGCGACAATGTTAAGACACTTTTTCCAAGTGTATTTACTGTAGACTAAGCAGTTTCAGCTCCTTCTGTATTCTAAATTCTGTGACAATGCTGTGAAGGGTTGAACTATATGTGACCAAATTCACTCTGCAAATCTGTTGGTGGAGCTTGTGCTACTGTCTTTATCTGAGTTCTACTAAAAGTCTCTCTGAATAGTCTAATGTGTACAGGTCACCAGTTCTTTGGTTCCATTTGGTTGATTTTGATGATAATTTTTTTTCTTAATGTGGTAATTCTCTTGCAAGTCTGACATGAAGCTTCCCCTCTCTCCTCAAGCAGAAAATTAATGAAGATTTCTAATGTCTAATTTGTGCACTGAGCCACTTACAAGCTTGTGTCTTACACTGGTTCACTAAAGTGGACTATGTAAGGGGGGTTTTGTTGACTACCTTACCTATTTCCTTGCATAGAAAACAACTTTACAGGACAGGTCTTTATGCAGAATAGACTGGTTATGCAGTACTGTGTTTGCCAAAATTCAAAATGGGATACCTGATTTTCAAATTGGTGATGTATGTCTTTAAATCTGCTTAGTATTGCAATGCTGTTATGTCATTGACTGATTTGAACTTTAGGTGGTAGGACTTTGTGTCTGTCTTGTGTAACCATACATGCGTGCATAACATCATATATTTGTAAAGTTCTTCTTGGTTCACAGGCCTCAGCATATACACACACAAGGAAACGGTACATTTTATCATGTGACATTACAAGTCACTGCTTATACTGCTCATTTTGCTCTCTTGAAGGGACCCACTGACCTCCAGGTGGGTTTGTTTTGGTGACAAGGCACTATGAACCATGCCCCCCTCTGTGTTGATAGTCCCCAACTTGTCTGTACCCATGAGCAGACTTGTCCTGCAGACAGATCAGGTTGCCTCTGTGTTGTCCTCCTGATTTAGGTCCATCTTTTTCCCACCCACAGTTTACTATTAATTATGTGTAATTCAGTCAATAGTTCATATGGTTTAAATTGAGTTGTTGTTTTTTTTACCCAGTATTATTGAACTGATTATATCTTGCAGTTCTTTCCCTTGTATTAAAGCGGTTTACTTTTAACATAACCACTTTCACTTTTTATTCTCTCCCTTGTGATGTTGCTCATGAGTTGATTTGCTGGAGGAGCTCCAAAAGCAGCTTCTACAGACAGCAGCAGAGTTATGAGAGTTTAAGGGAAAAGGAGGCGTGAGTTCTGCTGAAGGAAGAAGGCCTGATAGTTTCCCCTAAACCATGTGACCAGCGGTGCACCAGCCTCCTGGTCTATTGCCACGCAGGTGGCCCTTTTTTGTTGTACGATTAAGGAATTTGAGTGTTTACAGTATTTATCTTTGCCTCCTCAGACATTTTTTAGTAACATTGTGTGTCATGTCATGGTAGTCATGAAAGTGTTCCAGTGTTTATTACAATGCCAGTAAACAGTTTACCTTAAGAAGTACATTTATGCTATTGTACTCTATCTATTCAGGTATGCTTTTTTACTTGCCATGGTTCCTATCTCTGGACATCTGGAAATCCACTTCGGATTTTCCCTACAACACTTGCAAAACTTGAAGGTACATAGTGTACTTGTGGAGATTCAGTTTTTTAGGCGGGGGGGTGGTAGTTCTTTTTCAGTTGTCAAAGGTCTGCTAGGAAAAGTGTATTTTCTTGGGTAAAAAAAAGATAAAAAATCATTACCCTAATCTAAAAACTTTACACACACACAGCATATTACACACAACAGTGTTTTACATGTTTGGGTTTTCCTTAACACGTGTCTCCCAGAATCCCACGAGTGCAGCCTTCTCTGGACGAGCGAATCTTTCCCACACAGCCGGCAGTGGCAGTCTACAGCGTGAGTCACTACAAACTCCTTTCTGCAAACACAAACCTGCTGTACTGCAACAGAACAGTTTTTTTTAAATCCATGTCTGTTAGTGCACCAAATACTTTGGGACACCTGAGAGGTCCTCTGACGAAAAAGAAGATTATCTTAACTATTTAATGTCTGCTGCCTCCCAGTCACTTTGCTAAAAGTGTGATACCTCACAGTGAGATGCAAAAATCACATATACATTAGTGCATAAGAAAGTGTAAGAAAAGTAAGAAAGCATTTAGTAGATAAAAGCACTGTTTATTGACTTTTTCATAATCACTATTTTTGTAAAACACTTCTAAATGTTTCATTTTTTTTAAATAACTGTCATTTTAACAAAAAGGTGATACTTTTATGGGAAGACTTGTAGGTTTATGAAATTCTTTTCAGTGCTTTCAAGGTGTTTTACTCTCAGTATTCAATGCTGAGCACACAAGAGGAGAGAGCAGCTGCCCCCAGTGTGAGACCTTTTTCCTGTCCATACATTTGTGGGTTACTTTCTCTCTTCCTGTTGCCATCATACAGCTCCTATGCAGTGCCTCCCCTCCCCCAGCCCATCACCAAGTACGTCCTCAGAATCAGTCAGTTGCCTGAAGCGATGCAGGCTCCTCCCCTGGCAACAGCAGCCAGATTAGTTGCTTTATCCCAGGTCATCTGAGGAAAGTGGGCCACACAGAGCAGAGTCAGAAATGGGCCAAATTTATACTCCAAAATCTCAAGACATTGTCCAAAGACTCATTTATATGTTCATTGTATTTGGCATCCTAAAAAGCAGCACATTGCTTAAGGCCCTCTGTCTGCTCTTCGGCCTCCCTATTATCTCTGTGTAACTGCTGTTTTTTCAGCTTCATTGTTGTATTGAGCAACACCTGCAGTAGAGTCTCCTCACAGCTGCAGCAGCTCAGGCACTTGATGAACAAGAGCAGAGTCAGTGTAAAATGGCTTTGAGAGCTCTCATGCTGATGCTATAGCAGTGATGCAGTCACACTGAGGAGGCATGTCTAACATGACTCAGTCCAATGTGCTGTACCAGGTGCTCTGTGTCACACACGAGTAGGACTGTAGTATGATTACGTGACCTACATATGAGCCCCACAGACCATTCCCACCATAAAGTTTATCTCAGAGGATCATAAAACAGTATGAACAAGAGCTGAGTGAAATTATTTCACCAGGAATGAATTAGAGATATGTATTTGACATGGAATCTTGATAAGAGTTTTATTTTAAAATTTCTCTAAATCAGAATGGACTGTACTTGGTATTGTTATAATTTCTTATAATCTTATAAAATATGTATAATTATTGTTATGCAATGTCTCATTCATTTTTTTTTATCTCATATACAGTATTCTGTAATGCAGGTAGCCAGGCAGGTTGGCCCTCCCTACACTGCACACGACATCACAAAGGGACATCCAAACTTGGCGGGCACACCGCCGGGTCATGCCCACTCACCTGCTCTCTCTCAGGTAAGTACAGATTTACACTTAAGTTTGTTCAAGATGTACCCCTAAAGCCTACGTACTGAGATTTTGAGAAACATTGTTATTAGATTTCCATTGCATTATCAATATGGAGTAGTAAAGTATGATAGAGTAGTGTGAGTACTTATTTTCAATGAATATTAAGTACTCTTCATGACTAGACATCATTTTTATTACAACTAATCTAAACCCCCTCAAAAAGTCTAAATAAACCAATATAAAGCAAACTGCTTGATTCTTGAGCCAAGATTCGTTTTGCCATGGCATTTTTTGTCATATCGCTAAAGCATAAGCTACAACCAAAGCATTAGCCATCTGCCCTTCATCAAAATCACTTCCTTCAGGGTCACTGTCTTTGCCCTTTTTTGGATTGCCTTGTTATATTCATATCACCTTTGTATTTGCCATGAATGTGAACAGTTGTGGTCAGATGTGTGGTTGTTGTAGGTGTATGCATTTGGTTTTCATTTTGGTGAACAAGAAAAATAAAGAGACACAGTCCACACTCCATGCAAAAAAGTAAACATGGTGAAATTGGTGTCCAGTTTATTTGAGAGACCTTTGTTATGTCATGTGCACTTGTACAGGTTCTAATCTTGTAACATTCTTATGATCTTTGTTCATTTGTCTCCAGCCTCCGTACAACCCTGGACAGAATGCTGGCTCTGCTGCCATTGTGTATTCTCCACAGACTCAGACAATGAGTGCACAACAACAAAGTCGCCCCGTGAGTGACCTTCTCCTGTACCTCCTTTTTGCTTCAGCTTTTACAAGTCCCATAATAATGTGTAACTATACGGTATCATGTCTGACTTCCAGCAGCTTTATACAAGGGCCATACATGTCTGTTCAATTATACACTTACATATAGCAGATTGCCCTTTCTTACATATCTTTTTAATGTCTCAAATTTAGTGTTGTTAAACCTGTAGATAAGATCTGCCTCTAGGTTTTGTGGTTATTCATCACATATCAGTCTGGTTAAGTTACCTGTAAAATACAGCACAAACATTATGGTTTTGAATTACACTGTAAGTCAAAAGTCTGCACTTTTTCATTTAATGTTTTTATTTATTTTCACGATTATTTAGTGTCGATTTTTAGTGAAATGAATTTCTATGAATGAACACATGGAACATAGTAAACAAAAAAAACTTTTTTTAGATTGCTCAAAATGCCATGATTTATTTAGATTCCTCTAATGAACCTGAAAAGGCGCACTTGTGAAGTGAAAACCATTTCAGGGGTCTTCATCATGAAGCCCATTGATAAAAGGGTTTGGAGTGGGGTCAACAAAGCAAAGGATGGATCTTTTTCCATACCTCTTGTGTCATGGATTTGATGTCTTCAGTAAATATCTGTAATGTAGAAGAAAACACACTGAATGTGACGTTTGACTGGTAGTGTATTGAAATTGACAGAATTATAATTGGGACTGTATGTACTACTTTGTGTATATTTATTAATACAAAGCGTGCAACAGTTTGGAACGTATAATTTTAAAACATTACTGATTCAAAGACTTGGAGATTTGATACAAATATAGACTTGTCTATTATTTATTACACTTTCTACAACCCTACCCGCACCAGGAATGGTGGATCTGCTATTTGGATCTTATTAAATGGTTGCCAAATATAAAGGCATTACTTCATTAGAGGAAGACAATGATTGAGATGTGGTCTCTGCACTGTCTGCCATGTTAGAGCTTCATTCACTGCAGTATGTTGTGTACCACCTGTCGTCAGCTCATCTTATGTGTGTGTCTTTGCTCTCTCTCCTCCCTGCTTAACCATTGCTGCTTCAATCTGTTTGCTGGACCTCTCCTCCCTCCCCCTCCAGTTTGCCACGGGCCCTCGACCAACCCACCATCAGGTAATTATACCCCCGCTGATCACCCCTCCTACTCCTCCTCTTACGTAGCCATTGTCATAAAGTGTTTTACTGCTGTCCAAAGACTGCTGTCCGTGTGATGTGGAAGCCTTTAAGTGTATCGGATTTCTCTTTCATCTGTCTTGAATGAGCTTCTTAGATGAGGGATATTTGCAGTTTGTTTTAACACATGATGGAACAGATGGGGTCTCTGTTTTATCTATTCATGTTTATTTTTATTGCACATTAAAGTTCAGTGGTACATATTCTGAAAAGAACTCTTTTCTTAGTGTGACAGCTTATAATGCATTTGCTTTTTAATGGCTTCCTATATACCAGGGTTGGGCAATTATTTTTTCCATGAGGCCACATGAGAAACAGAAAATATTGTGCAGGGCCGGGCCAAAAAGCTTAATTCAATTCTGCACAATATTAATTGTATTTTTTTTTTTTTTTTATAAAAAGCAGTAAAAAGTATTGTTTAGACAAGCTGGTAAGTCTGGTAAGATTAATAAGATAAGGTAAGATAATATTATGACTTTTTTGTGATTTCAAATTAACTTAAACGGGCCGGTGAGAGTCAACCAAAGGGCTGTATGTGGCCCGGGAGCTGCATAATACCCAGGTCTGCTTTATACAGTTGTGTGCCACAAAAACACTGGCTGTCACAAACTGGCTCTGCACCTCCTTGTGCCACCACAGAGGTGGAGACGGAAAGCAGACAGTGACTGAACAGAGGCCTTTATTCTGTCAGAAAACAACCATTGTCTCTAATGAAATGCACTTAATGCGAAGTAATGACTTCAAAACAGATATCAAATTAACACTATAAACACAACACCTGTTTTCTAAGTGTCAAGTATTAGGGCTGTGTTCAGACAAAGTTTAGTTAAATCTAAAAGTCAAACCCAGCGGAAATGAATTACTGTCACAACACATAACAATTGTTTGTGCCATTGTGCCTCACGGTCATAATTAGTGTATTCCTCTAACAGAGTTGACTAGATTCAATTTTGCTTATACACAGAGGGTGGTTCATAAGAAGAATGTAGTGTAACCCCACAAGCCCTTAACTGTTTTTGAAGTTGCCAAGTCATCCCCGTAGGTGACTACCTGGTCTAGTGTGGCAAGAAACTGCCTGTACAGCAAAGTCGTCTTACAAGGGAGAGTTGCACTGTGGAGATTTGTAGACTCTTTAATATGTTCTGAGTCGAAATGTTGATAGATGATTGTTCTTTGTTGCAAGCCTCCTTTATTTGAACGCCCACACTCGGTGACAAACCAACTATTGTTTAGAGCGTTTTGCCTTTTTGTCATTTTGACTCTTTGATCAGCAAATTCACTGACACCAGTAATCAGTTTCAAATAGTTAGAAATAATATTTGGGAGTTTCCTGTCCTAATGTGTTTGGGTGATTGTTGGACGCTTCTATTGGTTCTTTCTCTCCTGCTTTCATTACACAAGGGAGGATTCAGGCCTATCCAGGTAAAATTCATATATATTTCAAATCTCTTCAGACGTGCATGGCATGATGGGAAATGTTCTTAAATGATCCTGCTTACCCCTGTGCCCACTCATTGCTCTTAGAGTCAGTGTATGCTAAATAAAGAGGCCCGTTGTTAACAACATCCCCTATGTTCTCTTTTACTGTGTAATGGGGCCATAAATGGTTTTATATTTGGTGTAATTTGTCTAGGCATTTTTCAAGTATGCTTTGAAAATGAACACACAATTTCATAGCTGGTGTTTGTTTGATTTTTCATTTATGTATTGTACCTATATATTGGGCTTGGTGTGGGCAATGTTTACTACACACTGTGTTTATTCGGCATGCTTTAAATAACCTTTATTACCATGTCTTTCTTTTTATTTCGTATACATTTGTTTTATAATAATTTTCAATCAAAATTCTTAGCTCTTTATTCAGATAGTTTGATGGAAACAAGGTTTGCTGTAATTTGTTTAGCTTTTATAAGGATTACATTGGTTTGACATGGTTGTAACATAGTTGTAAAATAATGAATAGTATTTCTAATTCTTTGTTTGCATCTCTAAATGCAAAACGCTGTTCTAATAAGTAATTATCTTTCACTCTCCAACAGTTTTTCCCGAGGGCTCAGATGCAGAGCACACGGCCAACCATACCTACAAATACACCCTCAATACGGCCCAGCTCACAAACCCCCACTGCTGTGTATCCCACCAATCAGCCCATCATGATGACCATGCCACCTATGCCTTTCCCTTCACCACAAGCTCCACAGTACTACATCCCACAGGTCAGTTTCACTCAATAGCTTATCTATTAATCAATGAACACTTGTACAGTTGGTAAGAGCTGGGAACAGTTTAAACTAGTACTTCCTGGAGATGAACAGATTTGCACAACTTTCTGCTCTTACAGGAAAAGGATGACCGTTCAAAACTGTTTGATTTTGCGGTTTAGATTTGATTTTTGTAACACTCTGCTTAATAGAGAAAAACATACTGTTAGTGACTGAAGATTTTAGAACTCAATACTAGGGATGTAGCAATAACTGAAATATCGTGATATCGTATCGTCAAAAAGTCTCACAATAATACTGTGGGGCATCACAATATATTGAATTACAAGTTCCTTTGTTTAAATGCATTTTTAAAGTAGAAATAGCTAATAAACATTGGGAACTACATTTCCCACGGGGAACTACATATCCCATGATTATCATGATGATCATTTCAGCGCAGACAACATAAAGTTATGTTTTTTTCTTGAATTCTTGAGATTATGACAGTAATAATTAACACCAAAATTTTGTCAAGGTATTTTAAAAGCAAAAAAAAATTCCTATCTACAATTATAAAAGCCTCTCCAAAATATCGTGATGATATTGTACCGATAGATTTGGATATCGTTACATTCCTACTCACTGCATGTAATTCTTAAGAATTTGGAGGTAGTGATTTTATCCTTGATTTTAATTGCCTATCCTTATAGTGCATAAGGTCCCAAACTTTTCAAGCTGAGACCTCCAAAATAACCATGCAAACGATTCGGGACCCCCCACTATTTGTGAACCAGTGTGCTTTGTGAGCTAGCGTGATCCCATGCTGTCATGAAATATGCAATATGAGAAGACCATTCCATGGATGTACAGCAGAGCTGCTTGGTTTGTAACATAATGCTTGATTAATTTGAAACCATTTATATTGCTTTCTAATGTTTTGGATATTTTCTGAATTTATTTTATTGTTTTGTATTTTATAATTTTTATGTGACAAAAAAATACCACATATGCTGATACAGAGTCCTGCACTGGGACAGGTACCCGAAGGGTACGGGCAAATAGCTGCTGAATCAGGCGGCTTTTAACGTTCTGTAATTTTACGGACGGGTAGTGATTAGACACAGTCAGGTCAGGACTAAACCAGGACTACACTAGGACTAATCTTAGACATAAGAGAGAGAGAGAGAACCCTGAGCCCGTGGAGCAGGGTGTCCACAAAGTGTGGTGGATCGACCATGGTGCTTACTTTCGTAGGGCGTGGAGCTCCGCGCCGGTCCTTTTGCAGTCACCCGATGGTCTTTGCGGGCACAACTACATGCTCTTCCCGACTTTGAGTCCTCGTTCAGTCCTGGTTTAGTCCTCCTGGTTCAGTCCAGGAATCAGTCCAGGAATCAGTCCTGGGTTAGTCCTGGGTTAGTCCTGGGTTAGTCCTGGGTTAGTCCTGGGTTAGTCTTGGGTTAGTCTTGGGTTAGTCTTGGGTTAGTCTTGGGTTAGTCTTGGGTTAGTCCTGGTTGGTGTGTGCGGCGCAGAAGTCCAGTGATTGATGTTTCTTCTGCTCACTAAATAATGCCTGTGAAGTGATGTTGTATTTTTGACAGTCGAGTTGCGTCTATAAATTCGTATTTGTAATGAAGAAAGTGTAATCGTTTCATTTTGTGATTGTAATTCTTAAATTCGTAACTTTTTAATTCATATTCTGATGGATGCTTCAGTTAGAATGCTTTTAGTTTGTGTGTGATTTATCACGGACACAGGTGGGTAATGGGTGGAATGTTAACGGGTCCAGGTGGGTGTGGGTTTAATTTTGATATAATCATGGGTTAAAAGGCGGGTGTGGTGCTATACTGCGCAGGTACGGGCGGGTGCGGGTCTTTAAAAATAGACCCATGCATCATGGTAAAATGCTAAACATGCAAGAGTCAACCTCTAACTCGAGGCTCAGCAAAGCATCTTACAAAAAAAGTACGAATAAGATGCAAATTAGAGGAGTTGTTGAAATTTGACATTTTTTGTCTTCTAGTATCGCCCCAGTACGCCTTATGTGGGACCTCAGCAGTATTCTGTACCGCCTCCGGGGTCCGGCACGTTTTATCCTGGTCCTGGGCCAGGGGAGTACCCTGCCCCATACCGTGAGTTAGCTCATATTAAGAAATCTAACCCACTAAATGCCCAATCATAACACTTCTACACATTTTTATGTTGTATTCTTGTGATCAGATCCCCTCAGGTATCATCCTCCTGTTTCACCCTCTGTCCCTGCTCCTGTGCCCTCTGCGGGGTCCCCCTATTACCCAGGCCAGACTGTATACCCCCCTTCGCCCCCCATTATAGTGCCTACACCACAGCAACCTCCACCAGCTAAGCGAGAGAAGAAAACAGTAAGTATTTTATACATTTCTGAATTATTAATATAAGAAGATGAATTCATTAATTTGAACTTGTAGTAATAATGAACTTTAAGTATGTAGTTGGTACTTTTTTGGGAAGCTTTAGTCACTATGTTTACATGCACATCAGGAAAAATCTGTTTAGAGTGTACTAGGATAACTGGCCTAGTCCACTTTAAACCAATTTTTCAAATGCCTGTAAACCTAGCAACAACAATTCTCAAAGAGCCCAATAACTAATTTCTGCCAAAAGTGAGGTTATATATGATAAGTTGTAGTGTAAACGTAGTGACTGATCTACTGATCTACTTCTCCCAGATCCGTATCCGCGACCCCAATCAGGGTGGCAGGGACATCACAGAGGAGATCATGGCAGGAGGCTCGGGAAGCAGGAATTCAACGCCTCCAGTCGGTCCACCCTCTTCCACCCCAACCCCTCCACAGGTACATAACACCATTTTTTAAAATACTGTACACACACATCCTACAAGACACATTTTGAGCATCAAAGGAACAGTTCATGTTTTTCCCTCACATTTGATTAAGTCTCCCACATGTGATACTTTTCCTTAGTATCACATCTTATACAGTATATCCTTTGACTACTTGAACACATTTTTTTTAATACAGACTGTGTTCTGTTGATGTTTTAATGTTATTATTGTACAGAAATTTGTTTGTATTTTGTGTTTTACTACTCTTTCAACGGAATCCACTTGTCCTCACATTTATATGAAGCATGTCATTTAAATGTATTGTAAGACTGTGAGCATTACTGTTTAGTTATCAGAAATAATCAATATACATTACCGTATTTTCTGGGCTATTAGGTGTGCTCTTAAGCCTCCAAATCCATCAAAAAACGACTGCACCCTCCGCAATCCTAAGCACCCTATACACGAATCCACTCGGGTGTCCCAGCATGACTTCAGTAAACTACAATGCTGCACCACCAGCAGCGCACACAAACACGCATGGAGCAGACAGCGACCGCACAGATTGTTCAGCCCTATAATAATTTGAGGTGGCAACACAGTGGAGTGAGATTCTGCTGAGGGACTAGTGATTTCTTTTCTTCCTCTGTCTGTGAATGTTAACAGTGTTTCCTCTCTTTTCATATTCTTTTATCTTTATTTATTTTGTCTGTTTTTGTTTTTGTTTTTCATTTTTTGTTTTTTTCTGATTCGCATTATTCTGAGTTTTCCTTCCTTTTTTGGTTGATGTTTGTTTATTTATTTTTTTAACCCATACCTCATTGGACTCCTTATTGTTTGCTATCTTGTGCATTGGGCTTGCTTGAACATGGTTTGTGCCCTTGCTACATCTTTGTGCCTATCGTTCTGGTTTTCTGTGTTGCTAGTTTTTATGGCCGCATCCTCATTATCCTCACATTTTCTACCTCAAAACACAGCAGCAGCCGAGTAACAGCCAGACTCCAGAGCAGCAGTCGCAGCCTTCACAGCCGCAGCAGGCCCATTCTGGAGGCTTCACGCAGGACTCTCCACATCTACCATCGCCACCAACACCTCTGGCTTCTGGAGCTTCAGACGTTAAAACAAGCCCAGGTCTGACACGACTTGATACTCTCAAGAAACATGAAAACTCACATTCTGCCTACTCTGTTTGCTCCAAACAATAAAAATTTACTTGTGATCTGATTCCTGTGACAATATGTCACTTTGTTAAAATTGTAAAACTACTACATATCAGATTTGGATTTAACCAATCATCATGAAGTTCTCCAAGAATTTTTGTGTCTTTCCATTGAATTATGATGAAATCGAAAGGGAGATTTGGCTGTATTTTAAAAGGGTTACCCCACTGGGTATCAGATGTCTTTTCCTTTAGCTTTTTAGTAGTCTTGTCCCATCTGTTTCTAGTAACTGGCACGGTAGCAAAGATTTTACGAAAGAACTGGGTTGGAATCTTAATTATACCAAAGATTGACACGCCTTGTTTTGTTCACTCTCTACGGTGAACCATGTTTTCATGTTTGCTTTCCCCTAGATGGTACGTCAAAGCTGGAGCCAGTTGTTCTGAAGTCTTCCTCGCCGGTGCATGTCTCGTCTGAAGCCTCCGTTGAAGCCAATGCTCCTTTACCTGGACACGGGTCTACAGTGCCAGTCGAGCTTTCATTCACTGCACCTGTGTCCACTGTCCCACTCACAGCCTCTCACAGTAATGACCGGCTCTCTGCCTCACCCTCACCCTTGGGTACTGAACCCAGACACACCACTAATACAGACAAACCCATTTCAGACCCCCCACGAACTCTGACGCCCTCTCCAGCCCCACTTCCTAAAACTTTAAATGGCCTTACTGACCCTGTGGCTGAGCTGGACATGCCAGCCCATGAACCTGTGCTATCTTCGGCCCTCTCACCTCAGCTCTCAGCCCCAGTCTTTAGAGAGGCCTCCTCCGAAGCTCTCCCGCCTGATGTAAGGCCTGAGGTGCCCATTGCGGCTGCTGTGCTGTCCCCTGTGGCACCAGTGTCTGTTGTACCAGTCACGGTCACCTCCAGCCCCATCCCTGTACTACCCATGATGCTCCCCCCGGGCCTACCGCCTCTAGTGCAGGCCACGACAGAGGCAGATGGGCCCCGCCAGCCTTTGGACTCTAAAGACATGACCCCTCGAGTGGGTACAGAGGCTCGCAATAGTATTTCAGACAACAAAACTGAGTCTCAGCCACAAGCTAACACCAGGACAAGCCCCATAACAGGTACAAGTCTGCTTCAGTAGTGGTTATTTTTGGTTTTGTTAATTTGTGTTTTTATTTGCACAAGTACAAACCTACACTTAGGAAAATCTCACAAGTGTGTGTGATTCCAGGAACAGCTTAGTGGCATTAGCTGTTCCTTGTGCTTTCTTTCTTCTTTAGCTTTGGCATTACTGTGTCAATAACTTAAGCTTACACATCCATATTCAAAGTTAAGAAGCATGCCATCTAAACAAGAATGATTATAGACATTAAGTTGTCTATTTGAATTCTATCCTTATGTAAATTGTAAAAAGTATTGAATGAGCCTCACTAGTCAATGACCATATTAAATGCAATGCTTCTCTTTAGTTAATCAGACTGCTTCTACTATACCAAAGACCTGGAGGAAACCAAATGAAGGCATCTCTACAGCAGCAGAGACACCTGAAAAGGAAGAGGAAGTAAGAAAAACATTTATATAAAAGCACCAGAGAAAATACACTTTAGTTAAATTGGATTGTGATATGTGTGTCTGTACATATCAGCATAAAAGATGGTCTGTTAAAATGCGCTGAATGAGTCCTTTACCAACTGACGAAGTATTTGTAGAGTAGACTAATGGCACAATATGGAAATGGTTAATGTGGAAAGTGTTTCCACATGTGAGAAGAGAGCTAAAATGACTTTGGGGTGTTATTGTCCAGGAACTAAACAAATACTTATCCATCGTCTCCACTGCTCAACTGCCCCCTGCGTATGAACCCACTGTTTTCCCACTTGGGTTTTCTTCTTATTTTTCAAAATGAAGAAAGGTTATTATCTGCTTGCTTTGAGCAAAGATTTATGTACATGGCGTATTCAGGTGTTGCTTAGTGCAGTTGGTTTTGAATGGTGAATATTGCTTATGAAACTGAGATTAAAGGCGTGTTTGTATATATGCTTGTAAGCACTACTATAGTTCCAATGCTCTCCCTGCATCATCAGTGACCTTTTTAAAAATGACATTCATTGCCCTTAGATAATTGTTTTGCTGTGTTGCAAAAACAAAAAACAGCACCAACAAGGCTGTCCGCGTAAGTAATTGAATGTTTTCTGCACACAGGATGAAGCCTGTCCAACAGATGAGTCTATTGGTGAACAGAGCCGGCAGTCTGATGCATTGAGCAGCAGCCCTGTGCACGTACCATCAGTCTTTGCCTCTGCCCCCTCGGCCTGCAGCCCAGACCTTGATGGAAAGCCCGCTGGTCCAGAGGAGAACGGTGATGCTGAAATTGAGCCAATGAGGAATGGAGCAGGACACATATCTGAGACCGAGAGCAGCGACAGTGGAATGACACCTGGAGAAAAGGAGAGCTCAACTGGGGCTCCTCCAGACATAGAAGGTATATTTCCTTTGTGTAAAAAGTTTTAAAAGCCCTCATCAATGTTTGTTTGTTTAACCTCATTTTCTCACTCACCCAGACCTGACTGAGCCCACTGGAAAGAAACAGTATGACAGAGATTTCCTATTAAGCTTCCAGTTTATGCCAGCATGTATACAGAAACCTGAGGGCCTACCACCAATCAGTGATGTTGTTCTCGACAAGGTGAGTGAGTTCTTGGGAAAATTGTATTGGATTACAGTTGCTAGTTGTCTTGTTCTTGTTCCCCCAGCTGATTCATTTGTGCAACCCATTTTTATCTCTGTAAAATCTATTGGGACACACATTTCACATGGAGCTCCATGTTTAAAAAAAAAAAAAAAAAACATAATTAGTTTAGTTTGCATCATGAAACTTTTGGCCTATTTTTGGGCTCTTGACCCATAATTTGGTAAAAAGGTCTTGTTTGTAGATTCATTTGATTGGTTCACACTACTGAAGGTCTGCAGCAGTCCTTTGATCCACTCTTGCTCACGGGTAGAGTGTACGGCCAGTAGACATACTGTTTTGATTAAAATCCCATTGCTATTATGTCAGGCTTGGCAGTGCTTAAGAGTTTGTGCCCCACCCCCACATCTGGTTAGAGAACAACCGGACGAGCACTCTAGCAATAGGGTGATGTGCTTTTCATGTATTCATTCACCAGGTCAAGTACCACAGAAATACACCACTATTAGTAATGATATCACAGTTTTGTCTCTATAAATGTCTAACACCTACTTAAGCAAAAATAACTTAAAATAAAGGTGCACTTTGTAACTTTTCTGGGTATGGAGGGTATGCAATTTGCTTGTCTCATGGAGATGGTATTAACCTTGTCTGTCTACAAGATAATTATGTGAGGCCTCTAGGCTAAGTTAATGGTCAGATCTGTGGAGAGGCAAGCCCACTCAGTCAGACTGCATATTTTTCAGGGTATTTGTGTAACATGTGGAACATACCAGGCAAAGCAAAAAACACACATTGAAGAAAACCTTATCACACCCATCACTTCCAAAAAAATTAGATGTTATACTTTTCATTCAGGCTTTAACATATGCACATGAGTGGGATTTGTAGTCATATTTACCCATTATGATCAAAATTCCCACACTATTTTCATTGTGTAGAATTTGAACACAATTCTATGAAGCTCACTGCTCCCCCTGCTGTCCATGATAACCATATGCATGTTGACTGTGCCATGTTGCAGATGAACCAAAATAAGATGCCAACGCGAGTGGTGGATTCCAGGGTGATTTCCAGAGGACCAGATTTTACACCTGCCTTTGCAGACTTTGGCAGACAGATGAGTGGGGGCCGTGGGGCTGCTGTGAGTGACACACGCAAGTAGACACTCCAGCTGTTGTATCACAAGTTACCAAAACAACTTTCACCTTCAGTTTTTTCAACCAGTCACCTGCTGCTTAAGTGGTTATTGGTGAAACAGTAAATTTTATCTGCTCTGTCTCACAATTATATTCTTGTGGTTGGATGGATGTGTTTGATTATTTGAAATTTTTAAGCAGGAGATGGTGTGTTTATAATATTTCCACTTTTAAGTTTGGTTGAAATACTTTGTATTCTTTGAGGATGTAAACTGTAAATGTATGACGTCTTGTTACAGCTCATGAACATAAGCTCCCGGCGGCCCCCTCCCAGAAAGATCATCATGAATGTGTCAGTGAATGATGATGTACAGCTGAAAAAGGCTGAGAATGCCTGGAAACCTGGTTTGAAGAGAGAGGGTCCCCCAGAGGATCCAGATACACTTAAAACACAGGTATACAAAACTCACTCAAGAAAAAGCAAAAACATTTTTGGGTTTAACTTCTATCATCATATTTATTTCAATAGGAGCTCTTTAGGAAGGTTCGCAGCATCCTGAACAAATTGACACCTCAGAAGTTCAATCAGCTGATGAAGCAGGTAACAGACCTGACCATCGACACTGAGGAGAGGCTTAAAGGGGTCATTGACCTGGTCTTTGAGAAGGCTATAGATGAGCCCAGCTTCTCCGTCGCCTATGGAAACATGTGCCGCTGCCTGGCCATGGTAAGCTGGTCATACTACCGGTCACAGTATCAGGAACAATATATTTATTCTGAAACCCCCCAAGCTAATTTACAGACGTTCTATGGTTTACAGCTAACATACTATCATGTGTGAACTATGTCTTTCATTAAAGGTTGCAATATAGATATTTTGTAATGTCTAATAATTACTGCTGCATAACATATTTATTATTTAGAACAGTTGTATTTTAATTGATAAGACACCAACTTGTTAGGAAAGGGAATGATTTTGGGATGGGGTCACCAATGCATCCACTGGTAAAGTGGGGGTCACTGAGAGAAAAATATTAGGAACCATTGTGTTAAAGCCCAGGTCAATAGATGTGCTGTCTGCAAGCAAAACCTTGTTTTCCTGACCCTTATCACTAATATCGGGTTTTATGTGTTTGTAGCTCAGAGTACCCACGGACAAACCCAACGCTACAGTGAACTTTCGCAAACTCCTTCTTAATCGATGCCAGAAGGAGTTTGAGAAAGACAAAGTTGATGATGTGGTGTTTGAAAGGAAGCAGAAAGAGCTGGACTCTGCTGCATCAGTAAGACAGTTTGACACGATATTAAAGGAGTTTTCTACATGAAAAAAATATTTTTTTATAATTGTAAAATTCTATATTTGTGTTAAGACAACAGAGCGTGAGAGGCTACGAGAAGAGTTAGAGGAAGCTAAGGACAAAGCTCGGCGGCGCTCCATCGGTAATATTAAATTTATAGGGGAGCTTTTTAAACTCAAGATGTTGACAGAGGCCATTATGCACGACTGCGTGGTTAAGCTGCTCAAGAACCACGATGAGGAGTCCCTGGAGTGCCTCTGCAGGTTACTCACCACGATTGGAAAGGACTTGGATTTTGAAAAGGCCAAGGTGTGCACAATTAGCTAATGTCATTAAATGGTTCTTAAAATGCCCATCCTTTATACATGTATCTATAGAATGCAGTTTCAAGGGAGGTTAGAGGCAGAGCCGCACAGTGAAATTCCCATTTATATCAGACAACTATGTGCTCCTATTGGTTCAGTGTGCGCTCTAGGGCATGCTCTCACAACAACGAGGAACAGTGTGGGTCTTATGCAGGTGAGGTGAAGAGTGTGCATGTATGTGCATATCTAATGAGGTGGCTACGTAGCTTCAGTAGCCTAGCTCACAAAAACATCAGTTTAGATCTTCATAAGGTTTGGACTATGAGTTTTTCCAGAGCCACTGTCTCATGCACTGTCCATACTGCAGCGTGAATATACTCACGTAAAAAGTAGAGATCCACATATTGACCAAACAGTAAAGGATTAGAATTTGTTCAAAGTCTTAAGTGGGATAATGATACTACGGCTAGTAGTAGTGTCACCTTTTTCACCATGCCCCAGTTGGCAATCCTGAGTAATATTTTATATTTACAGTATGTACAGAATTCTTTCTAACATAACAGACCTATCCATACATGTACATCTAAAGTGCCACAATCTAAAATAATACAATGACTCATAAATGCTGTCTTCACAGCCTCGAATGGATCAGTATTTCAATCAGATGGAAAAAATAGTAAAAGAAAGGAAGACTTCATCTAGAATACGGTTTATGCTTCAGGACGTTATAGACCTGAGATTGGTGAGTTTTGTTTTGCCTTGTTTGCTGCATGTGTTATCAGCATTTCCATTTCATTTTTAAACCATATTTTGATTTTTAACATCTTAGTTAAAGCTTCACATGGTCAGTCATAGATCAAAACTATCCCCACACATATTAAACAACATGAGTATTATGATTTCAACTTCAAAATGTGTTACATGCATTATTATCTATTGTTTATTTTTATGTGTACTAATTGATTAATTTTTTCATTTGGCTACTGTAAAATCTAAATGATTGTGCTTGTTGTTTAATAGCACAACTGGGTGTCCAGGAGAGCTGACCAGGGCCCCAAAACCATTGAGCAAATTCACAAAGAAGCCAAAATTGAGGAGCAGGAGGAACAGAGGAAAGTACATCAGCAACTGCTTTCCAAGGACAGTAAGCGACGTACAGGTCAGTGCAGCGCTCAAATCCTCTTTAAGGCTTAGTCACATCGGCACATCTACAGGCACTCAGGAAGTCAGTGAGCAAATGGGCCCACTTCCTGTCTGAAATGCCCACACAGCCCTCACTGTGCCCCTCAACAGACAGGATACTATGTGTTAGTTAACATGTACTGTAAAAAGATTACTTAAGATATACAAGCCCCTTTGCAACATTAGAGAAGAACAGTATGTCATTATATATGTATATCTTGTGTTTATTTGTTGAACAGATCCAAGAGAACAGCGGGAACAGCGCATGCAGCGAGACGAGACCTGGAACACTGTGCCCATGACAAAGAACAGCAGGACTATTGACCCTGCCAAGATCCCAAAGATCTCCAAGGTCAGACATGCTTCACCCTTTGTGAATAATGAAGATTCAACTGTTCATCAAAATATGAAATAATCAGAGTTATTTTAACCAATTGGATCAACAATATTACAAACTCTCTTGACTTGTAGCACATATAATAGAGTTGTAGGAGAGATGCACACTTTGTCCTAACCTGACTTGGGTTGTTATGGCTTTAAATGTTAAATGCACCCTCTGGTGGACTTTGCAGGTAGTGCTACCTTTGCACCTCTGCACAATATGCTGTACTACTATCCTACTATTACTATATCTAAAGCCATGTCTGTTATCTGTAAAAACTTTTTCTCCATATACAGCCACAGATGGATGAAAAAATACAGCTAGGGCCACGAGCTCAAGTCACATGGGTAAAAGGCAGCAGTGGAGGTGCCAAGGCCAGTGATTCAGGTAAACATCTATGCTATTATTATTACTACCCATAATAACTAAAACTCAGAACAAGTGGCACTTTAGGAGTGTTTCGTATCAAGATTTATCAGTATATTTTTTATTTCTCATCTCAACAGAAATGTCACGCACATCTAGCACTAGCCTCAATCGTTACTCCGCTCTGCAGCCTACACCCACAGCCCAGCCCTCCACCACACCACCCCAGAACCAAGACTTTGATTCCAGACGATCTATAGGAAGGTAATGCTCAAACATGCTATTACTGCACTGAATTATAAATGATTAACTGGTGATTTGACCGAGTGATTAAATTATGTTTTAGTCGAAGCAGCACAGGGCGAGAGCGTAATGACAAGCCTCTGATGGCCAGCTCATCATCGCGGTCCAGTCTGTTTGTCCGAAGAGGCAGCTCCAAAGAGCTGCAGGACACCCAGATCTCAGAGGAGCCTCGGAGAGACCGGGACAGAGAGGGGGCAGAGCCCAGGAGACCCAGTGTGACGGAGGACAAATCCGAAGTGGAACGCAACCGAATCAGGGATCCTGGTGAGCAAATGCTATAGTACACCAGCAGTACACATAATTTAATTACAGTGCAATATCACAAAACACATGTCTGTTTCAACTTGCTAAATATGTTTACAGTTAAACCTGAATCTGTGATACTGACGCCAGAGCGGACTGGCTTATCTGAGGAAGAAGTTGAAAGAAAATCCAAATCCATTATTGATGAGTTTCTGCACATTAATGACTACAAGGTAAATGTTTATTACTGGGTTGATTCTGATTGTTAATCTTAACTGGTTTAATACCAGTGAATGTCTTAATGTTAACATGGTTCATCTGTAGGAGGCAGTCCAGTGTGTGGATGAACTGGGCTCTCAGCTGCACATCTTTGTCCGTGTTGGGGTTGAGTCGACTCTGGAGCGGAGTCAGATCACACGGGACCACATGGGGCTGCTCTTCTTCCAACTTGTACATCAGGGAATCCTGCCCAAATCTGAGTTCTATAAAGGGTCAGTTGAAATGCAGTTTAGAGATCTCTTGTGTCTGTTTAATATTAATAAGACCTATAATTTGTTTTCCATCTTCATGTCATGTTCACAGATTTTCAGACACACTGGAGCAGGCAGATGACATGGCCATTGACATTCCCCACATTTGGCTGTATCTTGCCGAATTGCTCTGCCCAATGCTAAAAGATGGAGGCTTCTCTATGAGAGAGCTCTTTAGGTACAGGAATGCATGCCATTCACAACTTTTTATTTCATTTTAGTGTATAAATTAAGTGTAAAACAGAAGTTTGTAACCAGGTATTTTCAGCAAAGCAAATCATCCTTACAGGTTGTTTTGTCTGTTTACAGTGAATTAAGCAAACCTTTGCTTCCTGTGGGAAGAGCTGGGATCCTAATTTCTGAAATACTGCACTTACTATGCAAACAAATGGTAATCATTGACACAAATGATGATTGTAAGGAGTGCTTTTTGTCATCAAGTCATTTTCTAATATGTGGAAATATGTTTACAGAGCCATAGGTCGGTGGGGTCCTTGTGGAGGGAATCTGGTTTGAACTGGGCGGACTTTCTACCAGAAGGAGAGGATGTTCAATCATTTATCTCACACCAGGTTAGTCATAGCCCAAGAGTTTTTTTTAAAATAATACTTTATCTGTGCTTCTTTACAAACTAAATGTAATTACCAACAGAAACTCCAGTTTGTTATGTCAGACACGTCTCTCCCTGAGTCCGCCTTATCAAAAAGGATATTTTCTCCAGAGGAATTGAACCGACAGTTGGAGAAACTGCTGTTGGAGGATATGGCCAGTGACGAGCAGATCTTTGATTGGGTTGAGGTAAAGCCATAGAATACTCATAGAATAAAAAGAAGACATTTGTGACATGTGTGCTGTTTGTTTTGTATGAAGGCTAACCTGGATGAATCTCAGATGAGCTCGTCTCCCTTCCTGAGGGCCTTAATGACGGCTGTGTGTAAAGCAGCGGTCAAAGGTAACATTGTACAAACCCTACATGGGGGTATTCCATGAAGCGAGCTAAAGTGAAAACTTGGTTTATCTGGGCAATCCAGGCTTATCAAATCCTCATTTCTGTTACACCAAAGTGACTAATCAGAGTTGGCACTGAGTTGCTGTCGTAACGAGCAACTGGGCACAAACCTGGACTTTTAATGTCCATACGCTCCTACGCACGTGACACACATGGCACTAACCATATAAAAGCCTATGGCCATTATTTCATTAAAATGATCTTGCACATGTGGATGTTGTGCGGGGCACAGACAAATGCTGGTTTAGACTTTGAGGATGAGCTGGTTCTGGCTGTATGCTCTTTCATCATGTCTGTTTCTCCTCTTCTCCCTGGTTCTCACTCCCTGTCAAACTACATACACATTGACCCGGATTTTATCATTTCTTCTAGACTACATGTGAATAGTTCTGTTACAGCTTTGATTTTATGCACAGCAGAACTTAAGCTCCACTCTTTCCCCGGCCCACATTAACCAGGCTCTGCATGCCGCAGCCAGCCTCCTCTCTGGTTGTGGTGCAACCGGGAGGGGGAGGGGCAAGCAGGTGAGGAGGGAGGAGTCGTGTCTTTCCATCTCCTCAGATCAGAATGACCGGAAATGTTCTGTATCCCAAATCAAACTCTTGTCTGTGAGCTTTGTGGCTCCTGTCTCGTTTAGTCAGATCATTAAAAAAAACATTACAGTTTTAGCCCATTTTCCATGGTGTTGTGCTCCATTGATCTGGCCTTTCCAGAGTCACCAGGAGTATGCACAAAGCACAGCTTAAACTTCAGGCCTGAATTAGCTTTTGGTCAGAGCTAGTTTCAGCTCAGGATTTTAGGATAAGCCTGGACTTGTTAAGCAACTTTGATGGAATACCTCCTCCTATGTTTATCTTTAAATGAGCTAACTTAATTGACCTACCTTTGTCTTTATGGACAGATGAGAACACTAACTGTCGTGTAGACACAGACACCATCCAGAGGAGACTTCCTGTTTTACTTAAGTACCTTAACTCAGACACTGAGCGACAGCTTCAAGCACTTTATGCACTTCAGGCACTGATCGTGTCTCTCGATCAGCCACCAAGTGAGTAACTATTACATGTCTACAGTATGTGTACAATAAAAGACTATTCTTTCTACTTTAATTTGAGTTATACAACAACTTTTACGTTTATTTAGCACTGACTGTTATACTGCAGTGTTGGATAATCTTGCATTAAAAGAAATCAAGAAGTGATTGTGACTACATTCTTTTGTTCTTTTAGATCTCCTGCGGATGTTCTTTGACTGTCTGTATGATGAGGATGTCATCTCAGAGGATGCGTTTTATAAGTGGGAGTCAAGTAAAGACCCTGCGGAGCAGCAGGGCAAAGGAGTGGCCCTCAAATCTGTGACTGCATTTTTTACCTGGTTACGGGAAGCCGAAGAAGAGTCGGAAGACAATTGACAAGAGGCAACCCTGGACTTGGAAATAGTCAAACTTAATTGTTTCAACAGAACAAACTAAATTCAAAATGGGTGTATGAGCAGGACAATGCGTTTACGGCTGGAATTTTTTTTCTGCGGTACGGTTCTGAGACATGCCGCCATTTTGAGTTTGGATTCGTAAAGTGGAAGCACTAAATACTTGTATTATACATAGAAAATATTTTTGTTTTAAATTTTAACTTTTGTTTTATTACTTTTTAAGAAAGACTTAAATACATAGGTCCTGGACTCTTTAATTTATTATTTTTTTAAGGACTGCAAATATGAAAGTTATTTAACATTTGCAGATGTTCAAAGGAGAATCTGAAAACAGAAATAATATTAATTCTAGTAACAAAATAATAATTGTGATATAAATGGCTTCCCTGGACTCCACACTGTTTGATTTAAAACAGAATAAACCAAAGTAATTTGGGGATTACGGGGAAGCATAAATGAAATACAAGGAACTTTAACATGCCTGAATGGCACTTGGGGTTGTCTCCAGAGTGCTTTCTCAGTCCTGACTTGCTTTATGTGAAATGCACATAAACCTCTTGAGAGGTGAAGGTGTGCATTGAAGAAGTGGAGCAAGTCAGCCAACAGAACGGTCACCCTCCAGATGGACAAACTGGATACATGAAATGAGTGACATGCAACATTTAAATCACATTGCCAGGGTTACTGAACATATGCTTATAATACATAAGAGCAAATGAAAAGCTTGTAAATAAAGACTAAAAATCTATTTGCTAAGTTGTTTCAAAAGTGTTCTTTGTTGCCTTTGCATTTTGTTCTGGTTTGTTGTGATTTGAGTATCTTCCTTAACTACATTCTCTTCAGAAAGATTTTTATTTGTTATTTTTTGCATGATTTATACAACACTCTTCAATATGTAATCCTGAATTCTATTTATGCCTAAAATATTTCCAGCCAACTCAGTGTTGGGAATGGTGTGCAGTGATTTAATTATATCAAAATGACACATGTTGTGCTTGTTGGAACGAGCTCTGAGGGTAATTCAAAGGATTGTGGGAACCTTACGGCGTCTGACGCAAAGACGCAAAATCCACCGCGGCAGAGCAGTGGGGCGGGGCACGTAAACGGCGAGATCTAAATAAAGGATCGTGCAGAAATTTACTTCAAAGTGTTTTACATTTCCTCGACAATAGAAAGGTTAGTTTTGTTTGCATATTGAAACGCTATTGAGTAAAGGCACGTTTGCATGTGTGCATTTACGGAAAGGACCGTGAAAAGCTGCTGGAAATTTTTGTCTGGCTTGTCCGACGCCATTACTGTGTGTAACGCCAACCGACAAAATGGCGAAATTTCTGAAAATTTGGGCTATTCGTCTTTTAGTTGTCCTGGGGAAATGTATTGTTGATTCCTAACAAGGGCCAGTAAGAGCCAAAGCTGCAGAGTGAAAAAGACGAGAGTAATTCAGGATAAACGAGCTTAGTTTGTGTCTAGATCCTGTATGAATGTAATGAATGAGAGGCTGTGCTTGAGGCTCGGGCTGCAGTAACCACTTTGTCTCTATAGGTTCACTGTAAGACGCAAATTCATTCTGAAACATGAAAATGGCATTTTGTTTTATTTATCCAGGTAAGGTGTGTAGTGATGCCCATTCGCCGAGCAGCAACAACTCCGCCACAGGAGAAGCTCCCCTCCGGGGCGGTGGAGAAAGGTAAGGCCTGGCCTCCCGTCTGCCCGCCACAGATGAAACACACACACACACACACACACACACAAAAGGCTCTTATGGGAGGTCAGCTCTTTTAAGGCCGAAGGTCAAAACAAGTCCTTGGAATCAATTTAACATAACTTAATTTGTAATATAACTTCTGTAGAGTGTAGGTTATAGACTAACACTAGAGCTACACTTGAATATAAAACATTTACCTGTGATACAGAGCGTTGTGGGCAGTACAGTAGTCCATTTATTGGTTAATTGCAAGATGCCAGAACAAGTTTGCCCACTGCTTTGCTTTCTGCATTTTCTTAGTCACTTATAATACGCAGCTGAATCCATATTGCAGGCCATGTTAGTGTTTTTGTATTGTTAACCTCTTGTTGTTTCTTTTTAAAAGATGAAGCAAGAGTGGATGAAGAGTCTTCACCAGCGAATGAAGGTCCTCTTAAGTCATCAGCCCCAGATGCTTCAGCAAAAGAGGGCCAGTCCACTGATGAGTCTGAACCAACAGAGAATGGAGAGAAGGATCCTGAAGAAGGACCTGCAGAGGATGGGAAAGACAAGAGAGAGTGAGTTTGTTTAATCTCTCCAACACTCTAAGCTCTGCGATATTTCACTTTGATAGCACTTTTATCTGTTTTTATAATCCTTGCCTCTGCTGGATAACAACTCATTGTTTGCCTCACGAGTGCAACAAACCTCTCCAAAATACATGACACTTCAGACTTTAAGTGCATGCAGATGTAACAGTCTGTGTGGCCAGTCTCGAAGTTAATAGTTCTATATGGTTTGCTGGATGGATAGAAGTTCTTTAAATGAAAAATTACAGCATTTTCAAAGAGAATCAGGAATAGTATTCTACATTGAAATTTGGCTGAGATGTGTGTGATGAATTGATTGATGGATAAAACTTGTTACACAAACTCGTTATAGCAAAGAGCCTCACCAGTGTAGTTCAGTTACTGTTGCTCATTAAGACGGATGTTCTGAAATGTCATTTTGTCTCTCCCGGCGCTGACACATGGACAAAGTGACAAATGCAAGGACTGCTTGGCTGGACACTGCACCACACACTGCTATGTTCTCCTACTAAGGTGAGGATGTGATAAAGATAAGGGTGGTAATAATCACAGTGAAATATCGCTTTCAAGTTATTATGAAGCATAACTCAAACACATATGCTCATTTTGGTAACAGGCTGAAGGATGGATACAAGTATGAAAAGTCCAAAGGGAAGAAGGTGAAAAGGACCATTCCGGCTTGGGCTAGCATTGCCTCCAATAAAAAAGTCCCTGTTACAAACTATGCAGGGACACAGCACAAACTGGATAACATTCTCGTTGAAGCTATAACGGTGTGTGTTTAATCTGAAAGCAATTAACCTATTAACCCCTGCTTTCAGATTTGAAAATAACGCATGCGTTGTTTATTTGCAGTCTTTCAACTCTAGATCTGGGGTTTCCTACCAGTCTCTATTTAAATATATTGTCAAAAAATATCCTTCAATGGACCTTGACAAAAAGAAGTTTCTTATTAAAAAAGCTATGAAGAAACAGTTGGGGAATGGTGCCATCAAGCAGGTAACTGCCTGTTTATCAATAGTAGAGAAAAAAAGATGCATGCCTTGATGCATCTTTCTGTTTTTGTTTTATTACACAGCTAAAGGGTAAAGGCCTCTCTGGAACTTTTGCCATTGGAAAAGTGGCACAAGCATCAAAGGTTTGTGTCACCTGTGATCTAACCTGTATGTGTGTGTCATTGTGTGACTATAGCTGTTTATTTTAGAAGGCTCCACAGAACGCAGAGTCTCTTGGAGATGCCCTGCCCCTCATCATCACACGGCTCTGTGAGCCCAAAGAAGCCTCCTATACTCTTATTAAGAAGTATCTGATGCAACACTTTCCTGCTCTCAATGTTGAGAAAAGGTACTTTTTTGTACAACCATATCATATTATTTTATTAACGTTTAGTCTTTAAACTGAGTATTTAATAACAAAATGTAATTGTGAATCTGTACGATTTCAGACCTGATATTCTTAAAGCAGCTTTGGTAAAAGCCATAGAAAAAGGCCAAATGGAACAGATCACTGGGAAAGGAGCAAGTGGAACGTTTCAGGTACATGTTTATTCTAAAGCTTACTGTGTTGGTATTCTTGCCTTCTACATTTATTTTACTTATCTTCTTCCATTTTACAGCTGAAACGACATGGCAACCAAATACAGTTGAAAGGTAGCACGCTGGATGACGCCATTGTAGCTGCAATCACAGCCATGAATGAACCCAAGACATGCAGCACCACTATTCTACGAAAACACCTTGTAGACGCCAACAAGGACAGGAAGGAGCACATACTAGGTATCATCATCAGTCTAAACATGTTATTGCCATGTCTGTAGAACTAGAACTTATGATTACTAATATGTATTGCGGTTCTTTTTTAGTGTCTTCTCTGAGGAGGACTCTGACCAAGTGTAAAGTACTTGGCTGGATGGAGCAGATCACTGGCCACGGCTTCACAGGGACTTACAGGCTCTCATTCCCCTACTACCCAAGGTGTGGTGGGTTTGGGGCATGTGAATGTAGGAATCAGCAAATAGAAAAATGCTATTGAATGATTACTAAAGTTGTATTGCTCTGCAGTCCAACAGTTTTGTATCCAGACCGGTTTAAAGAGCTTGAAAAAACCCCAGCACCAAAACGAAGGAAGACCAGGTCTGACGACGAGTCAGAGGAGGAATCAGAAGAATCAGAGGAGGAAGAGTCAGAAGATGAAGCTCCAGTCCGCAGTCGGTGAGTAGCATTTTGTCAGTATCACTTATAGAATTTGTTGCATCTTGACTGACACATTCATTTTTACGTCTTTAGGAGTAAGAGACCTCCACCCAAAGCACGACGTCCTCCACCAAGTAAATCCCGAAGTGCCGCTCGCTCCAAATCCAAAGGTGGCAAGAAGTCACCAGTCAAGAAAGTGGCAAGCAAACGTGTCGTCTCCAAGAAGGAATCCGCAGCTGTGAAAAAAGCTACCCCTGTGAAGAAAAGAGCTCCTGCAAAAAAGCCCAAAACTCCTGCTGTTAAAAAGATGGCCAGCAGGGCAGCTAAGCGACCTGCACCCAGAGATTTGTCTTCTGATGAGGAAGAGGAAGAAGAGGAGGAAGAGGAGGTAAAAGCACCGAAAAAGGCAGCGAAAGGACGGTCTAATCGTTCTAAATCAGAAGAATCTCCTGCACCTCCAGCTAAAAAACAGGCGACCAAAAGCGTTTCCCGAGCTGCACCGAAAGAGTCCAAACCTGCCGCCAAAAAAGGGGCCAAGAGTAGCGCTCAGTCTGCCCGAAAGTCCAAAAGAGGAAAGCGCTAAACAAAGTGAGCCTCGCTACAAGATCAGCAGTTTGCATCTGTACCAGTGCTCTTTTTATCAGTTTCTGCCTTTTTTAACGAGGCAACAGTTTTTTATTTTTATTGTAGAGTAGATTAATTTTTTTAGTTAAATGTTAAATCAAGAGTTTCCAGTGTTTCTTAATCTCTGTGCGTAGGAAGCTGAGTTAGTGCTTTATAAAACAGGTTTATGAACAGATGGAGAAAACGTAGCAAGGTCCAACATGTAACTAGAGACATGAAGTTACTTCTGTTTTTATACTTCCTCACCCTCGTAGTTTTCAGCAGCACACAATACAATGAGTTTTCACTGGGAAATTTAGTTGGTTCAGTTTTTGTAAAACAGTACGTAGTTTAATTCTATTTTATCATTTTAATGGCTTTTGTAAAAGATTGAAATGATTTGCCTTATGTGCTAGTTTTTTTGTTTTTTTTTAAACATTACCCCTAAAAGATTTGTGCCTGCAGGTGCCAGGTGATTGACTTTTAAAGTCAGTATTCGTTTTAAAATGTGGATTTGAGGAAATGTCTTTTTGATATGTGTGTGAATATATACATAAAAAAGATTTGATTTCAGTGGATAACAGTAGAAACTTTGAGAAATGTGTGTTGTGAATAAGAAAAAGAGAAGGAGGCCAAGAGCTTAATACGTACTCTGTATGCATGTATACCTTGTGTTGTTCAGCTTTTTTCTCAAGTCATTAATAAATGGCTATATTTGTAACACGTTTTGGTATGTTTTTTTTAGGCCATAATTTGCCCAATTAATATCAAAGAGACTGTGCTCCAGCTTTATCAGGAAAATGAATTTTATGATAACAATAATATTGTAATATTAATGTAAAGTTATGCTGTTGCTGAGTATGATGCAGCTGTCAGGCTCTTACATATCTGTAATGTGAAGTACTCAACATTTTACTAGAACATGTACACGCTTATCACACACATACACTTCATAGACTGACCGTAGACTGTGACACACGCATTAACGCGTTCAGTGGGCGGGACGCAGGGAACATTTCGCAATGTTCAGGAATGTGTGGAAAGGATTTGGGATAGACAGCAAGGGCTCCAGGAAGACGCGATCTAACCCTTTCTTTCACTAATACAATTCAGGATATCGAAAAGTTAGTGTTTTTGGTAACGTAAGAATCCTACTGGTCATTGCTCATTTAGCACCCGGGTCCCCGTCACTGTAGCTCCGCCTCAGGTCAACAGCCGCACACCTGGTCCTGGATCAGCGGCAGGTTCAGGCGAGCACCGAGTGGAGCGACTGACTTCACCGCCGCAGGGACAGGTTGAGGAGCCGGTGTTGCTGAAGAAGGAAGAGGAGTCGGCTGAGGCATCCATAAACTTGGTATTTTTTACTTCATTCCAGCTGAATATGTAGGCGTTTGGGGTCTGGAGAGTTTTTCAAACAATTTGGCGATAGCGACCTGAAAACAAACCCATTTGCCAAAGTAGCAACATACACACGACTTATACTCTGACACGTTTCGATGTATGACTGTAAACATTTGGGTGATTTAAATCAGAATTTGTTCTTGTAGCCAAGGTCATTTGGTATAAGGCAAACTGCTGGCGCTTGCACTATGGCTGCAGCTTTTACTTTTGTATTGTGAATGCCTACACTTTTTCTTAAAGCAATTTTGTTGGCATAACTTTTGAAACTTTGTTAATCAGAGTAGCAGACTGACAGTTTCTTTTCTTGAGATAGGCACCAAAGGAAGATGGGCGAGTCACCAGATAGAGAGGATGGCACAGTCACTCGCACAGCTGAGGTAAAAACATCAAAATAAAGATTAGGATTTCTCTCTCTCTCTCTCTCTCTCTCTCTCTCTCTCTCTCTCTCTTTCATTAAACAGTGTCGTGTGCCATTTTAATTCTGCTCAGTATGTGGGGTCATTTCCTGTTGACGATCGCTGTCTGGATGACCAAATTGAACAACTGCACACTCAGCTCAGATGTTTAAGGGTAAGGCTTAAAACATGAATCTAATGAGTTAATGTTACAACTTTACCTGATGCTGCACTTCCCTGTCTCCATTAGGCATGCAAATCAAAACGGCTTGTATCACTAAAATTTTCCATCAAAGGAGTTAAAATATATGATGAGGATGAAACGGTAAGTATACATTTTTGATATACTATAGAAAATAAAATTTAATTTATACAGAATAATATTTAAAATATTTACTGTTCCTCTAGACTCTCCTGATGGCCCATGCACTTCACAGAGTGTCTCTGTCCACTGCTCGCCCTGCAGACTCCCAGTTTGCCTTTGTATCCCACAACCCAGGCAGCACAGACGCACAACTCTACTGTCATGTATTCAAAGCCCGACACACAAGAGCTGTAAGCCAGTCCTCGTTCTGTTACCCAAAAAATATGTGTGTCCTGTATTTCAACAACCATAACGAAAATTGCAAAATTGCAAATGATGCACTATGGTATTGGAATGTATCCCTCTGTAAGAAGGTTAGACCTCTACAGACATTTTCTGAAATGCAAGGGCTTCTTGCATTAGTTTAGCAGTTCATATTTCAGGGTTAGAGTTATCACATTATCCCTCAAATGTTAATGCTCCTGAGTTTTAAAAAGTGTACTCTCAACTGAATCCTCAAATGAACTTACTGTCTGTCCAACAGGCCCAGTTCCTGAACCTGCTCCTGTGCAGATGTTTCCAGCTATCATATTTGCAAAAGCATCCAGAGGAGGCGGCCCAGGAGAAGTCCACTGGTTCTGCTCCTCGCCGAAACCCATCCCTGCTAAACCACGGCTTCCCCCTCAGTGTCAGTGCACTGGTGTCCTTCAGGAGAGCGCCCTTTAGAGGGTGGCTGCCTGGCTCAAAGGTACCGAACTTACTTTGGTTTGATTTTTTTTTTTTCTTTTTTGTCTGGTATTTTTTGGCCACATTAACAAGGCTTAAAAAAAATATTTGTTTTTTCATCACTACTAATGGTTCGTAACTTGCCAATTGTACTTTTACTGATGATGAATTTTAAACTGAATCCAGATCAAATCAATCAATTGCAGACCCACCCAATACATTTTGTAGTGTTTTGTTGTTTTTGTGTGTGAAGCTTTCCCCTTACCATTAGCTTTATGCCAAGATACTAGGAAATAGATAAATTATAATATTTTTTGGTTAATTAATACATATTTTTTCAATGTCAGAATATTATTTATATGGAAAACATTAAATTAGCTCCACTCTGATTTCTCTTCATGCATTTTTTTTTTCCCCAGAAGCAGGTACAGTGAACCAAGTAACTCAAGTGCCAATGAGTAAAATAAAACACAATTCAATGTTTTCATGAGTGGACAACATTCAAACATGGATAAATACATGTTTAAATGGAGTCTACAGAAAATGAAGTGCAAAATCAGTAGAATAAACACTGTGGCTGCCTGTTGTTATTTCTCTGTAGAAGAATGGTAAGTCCTCTGATGACCAGCAGAGCAGCCAGGATGAAGTCTTCTCCTCATCCCCTTCACTGACTCGCAGGAAAGCCATCCACACCAAAATCCTGCACTCGGGGGCCTACCGCTCCTTCACTTTTACTCCCCACAAACAGCGCACGATTCAGGAGCAGCTAAAGTCATCATCAGGTGGGCCAACCGTTCAGAGGGCGCTGTCCAGGTTCAAAGAGTTGATTAGGTAATACATACTTTGTGTTAGGTGATGGGCTGCACTGGTGATGATGGCACAGTGGCAAGACCCAAGTTTAGTTCACAAGAATGGGAATAGTTTAGTAGAGATTTTTTTCTCACGCACCTAATTTCACACTGGTGGGGTTTTTGTTTTTATTTGTTGTCTTAGAATGATTTCAGAAGCACACCATGCCTAATATAAATGCACCACTATGTTCTATGTTGCTTGCTTGATTCATTTCTTTGTTCAGTCAATGTTTGATTTTTTTTTTTTACTCTACTATAATGGTAACTTCTATCAGATATCTAAACAGAAAAACAGAAAATGTTTGTCCGGCTATAATAATTGTTGATGAGTTTTGCCAATAACATTTACAATGACAATTGTACAAAAAAAAAGTTACAAAAATGAATTTTGCCAAACAATGACTTGGGCAGCTGGTTGTGGACAAAAACGATTATTTTTATTTTTTGTGCTGATGTGTGACTAAATGTCTTAGTTGAGGCACCGTACTTGTGCTAGACTTTTAACTTTTGCCTGGGATCCAAAAAACACTCTTCTTCAAAACTTAATGAAGATGTGAGTCTGGTCACCTGACATAAGCCAATCAGGAACATGCATGATTCGGCGTATCGAAAAAATATCACAAGGGGCTGAAAATATAGAGAATTTCTGCAAAATCAATGAGCAAAGCATAAACTCTGAGGTGAGGTAAATTTGATATCAATCTGTATATACAATACAGAGAGATATCATTCTGGTGTGCCAGGCAAGCAAGTTGAAATATATTATCCTTCTTTTGATCTATCTTTCACCTCTATTTGGCAGTTATGCTATGAAGCTGGTAATTTTCCTGGTCTTACTCTCAAAGATTTTTGTCTCATTGGTAAACAGCAAAGGAACCAGAAGCTCCGCAGAGGAGGTCTCGAGCCCCAAGCCTGGCCGAAACGGAAGAAGCACTTGCACAGGCAGTGTGGTGCTGGGCTGGAATCGCAACGTGAGTGCCACACTTTTAGGCGTTCACTCAATCTGCATAGACACAAATATTTGGCAACACCTGTTTTTCAGGGCTTGGTCTTTCGGCCTTTTATCTCCAGTGAAGAGCAGCCTTAATGATTCACTTAAGATATTTCACACTTAAGTTCCATTATAAATTAGAGCAGTTTTGGGAATTTCCTTTTGCTCCGACATGCTACAGTCAGAGCACAGAGCTTTGACCCTGAACCCCCATGAAACAGTTTGTTAATAATTACAGACCAGGCTTTCTCATCCAGAAAGTTTCTCATCTGAAGAGTTACTGGGTAAATTCCCAAAGATAAACTGCTAGAAAGTAAAAGTAGTAATTTACCAATTGGCCCTGATCTAGTTAGTGTGGATGTATAGAACTATGGTTCATATATAGTTACTTTACTTAACTTATTACGTTTTTTTTTTTTTTTAAGTGATAGTAGCTACTCCCTCCTGGCAGATGATGTCCTGGGAGCATATCTTGTGTGTCCACATCCAAAGAAACCCAAATGTGGCAGTCTGATCGTTCGTTTCCCCACTGGCCTGAACACTCACCTCATAGAACAAACACGTAAAGGAAAATTTCAGCTTGAGGTAACAGTTTTTGTATTTTGAAAAACAAACGTTGTTATTGTCTGGTGTTAGTTGTTACATGCTACTTTTACAGAAATGTAAACGGGAGTTTAGTTCCTTGGCCGAACTAATTGAACACTACACAGGGACACTGGATGAGCTGCCTTGTCTGCTGAGCTGTGCCAGAGTTAACCACTGTTATGAGTGGGAGGAAGATGCCAACAAACCACAGCAAGCTGTTAAAACTCTGGACAACCTCAAAACAAGGACAAAAAGTACTGATTTAAGGGCTTAAGGCCTGAAACTGGACTGATGTGTAAGCTACGACTATTTGTATGATGATTATTCGTTTGCACTTACATCTTAATCACTGGTGTTGGGATCTTTGTGGTGGTGTTCTGTTGTACACTTTGAAACACATCTTTTAAAATATCAGCACTTCTTTAGGTGCTTTTGTCAAATTTTCAAAAAAGTTTAAATATGCTGCTGTTATTTCAGTATTGTCAGTCTGTTTTTGTATGTCTTAAAGGCAATACTTGTACATAGTTTTTTTTTTTCCTTTGGACTGCTGCCTTGAACATTTTTAATCTACAATGTGTGCAAATATATTTGCTCCAGTTGTTATCGGCTGGTCTTTTCATATACTCTGTGTACGAGTGTGTAACTATACACTATATCTGTGTAAACTATACACATATAAATGTCTAAAACCATCACCCAAAGTCTAACTAAATTTTGTTTAGTTATTTGAATTTTTGGTTTGATTTCTGCTTTTGTCAGTTTAAAAGATAATTTATCTCCTTCTTCCGAACAGCAGATTGCTGTAGATTATTGCTTGGTACCATAATGTATGTACAATCAGTCAAAGGTCTAAATGTAGGCCTAAATCTGTAATTCTAATTATTCCTAAAATCAACAAACTTTATTTGCTTAAAATCGGAGACTAAACAATTGAGGGATTTCACGGAGGCTTACAATAATACATTTTATTTACATAGGCGAGCACTTTCCTAAACAACAGTCACAAAGTGTTTCAAAAATTATGTGTAGGCCTGTTTCTATATGAACTCGGAACCTGTTCTGACCAAGTGACGACGTAGAGATTACGGAACTGCAGGAAGATCACCTCTTTTATATTTCTGAATCCATGCAACTATTCCCCCAAAATAATAGCAGGTAATTTTGCTGTATTTACATTCAGAACATTGTGTCCGAAAGGGGTCACTACACTCTTCCCTCACCTGTGCGTGCAGGTGTGCACGCAGTTCGAGACGTGGGGACTTTACGGTTGCTAAGCGATTTACTAACGCCGTACAAGACAATGTCCGGTGCGCTGCCTTTTCTGTATTGGCCCATTTGCAAGTCTGACTTGGGAAATAATTTCACTGGGGACACCTTTAAAGAAATGCAGTTTCTCTTTTAACTTTTTTGGATTTTTTGGTTTGACCAGAGCGAGATGGGGTCCGAGTCTGTTAAGGTTGTTGTCCGTTGTCGGCCGCTGAATGACCGGGAAAAAGCGCTCCAGTCTAAGATGGTGCTGTCCATGGATCTAGAGCGCTGCCAGTGCTTCATAGAAAAGCCCGGGGCAGTGGACGAGCCCCCTAAACAATTCACTTTTGATGGAACCTACTTCACCGACCACACCACTGAGCAAATGTACAACGAGATTGCATATCCTTTGGTCGAGGTAAGGTTGTAATTTGCTATAATGACAAAACCAAGCAGCCACTGGACATCTTGACTTGGAGTTAAAAAGCTATCTTATTTCTAAAGACTGCAAGCCTCATTTAGCCAACACCCTCTAATGCACTATGCAACTTTTCTGGTGTTGAATCCTGCCTAGTTGTCTATATGAAGATGTTATTGATTTGCCTGGAATTGCCCAGATTATGGCATTAAACATAGGCCTGTCAGTCTTGCATTTGTTTATTTACAGATGTACCTGGTACCTATATTGGCCTGCTGGCACAAATGCTTGTCTCTGTGGAGATGGATAAGTTTAATGTCATACAGTGAAACATTCCAGGCAAAGCAAAACATCTCCATGAAGACAAGTATTTTTTCTCATTTTCTCCTCAGGGTGTCACTGAAGGCTACAATGGCACAATATTTGCCTATGGACAGACTGGAAGTGGTAAATCCTTCACTATGCAGGGCACAGCAGTACCTGCAAGTCAGAGGGGGGTCATTCCACGTTCTTTTGAGCACATCTTTGAAACTATACAAGTATGTCACATGATGACTCTGGTCATTCTAACGCAACCCAGAACTATGATTAATACATATCTGTCTAATCTAGTGTACAGAAAATACCAAATTCCTGGTGAGAGCTTCATACTTGGAGATATACAATGAAGAAATAAGGGATCTTTTAGGAAGTGAAACTAAGAATAAATTAGAGGTAAGCTATTTGTAGTATCAAACAATCAACACATGACCTTTATGCTGTAGCGTCATTTCTATACAATTTTAATAAATTAAAATTACCATATGACTTGACATTGATTTATATATTTCTCTTCATAAAATACAAAATTATGCTCATTTTAATGCAATGAAGCCAACGTCCATTTTGTTTAGTGTCGCTATAGTAATAAGCCTTGTCCTTGACCTAATTTAAACATTACTTGTCACGTTAGTGGCTGTGTGTCAATAACATGATGTGTGTTTTAGCTGAAAGAGCACCCTGAGCGTGGTGTGTATGTTCGGGACCTGTCCATGCACACAGTACACAGTGTGCGAGAATGTGAGGGCATCCTGGAACATGGCTGGAGGAACAGAGCTGTGGGATACACACTTATGAATAAAGACTCCTCTAGGTCGCACTCCATCTTCACCATCCACCTGGAGATCTGCAGCACAGGTCAATATTAGTCAATTACAGAAATGGGACCAATGGTAGACATTATGCTGATCTTATAGATTTCATATCTCCAGAAAAGTAAATTTCAAGTTTTGATTCATTTAAAATAAACTCTGCAATTATTTTGACTGTTGTGTCTTTCAAAATAAGTTGGAATGTATTTGATTTTCTCAAAGAATGCACAAAATTGTGCTGTTATCTTTTTTCCACCATGTAAATGTATTCAGTCAAATATTTTGGAAACTGCAAACTAGTCTTATATTGATTCAGAGAAAATCAATACACTATTTATATTAGTAGTAAGGATTACATCCACTGAATTTCATCAGTATCATAGAAGTCTTATTGTCTTAAACATTCACATTTTTTATTTTATTTTTATTTTTTTTTTACTTACATTGATTACTATTCACATTTCCTCACAGATGACAATGGGCATGATCATCTCCGGGCAGGTAAACTCAACTTGGTGGATTTGGCAGGAAGTGAACGCCAGTCCAAAACCGGAGCTACAGGTGAGCGTCTCCGTGAAGCAACCAAGATCAACCTGTCTCTATCCGCTTTGGGCAATGTCATCTCTGCTCTTGTGGATGGCCGCTCCAAGTACATCCCCTACAGGGACTCCAAACTCACTCGACTGCTCCAGGACTCTCTTGGGGGGAACACACGCACCCTGATGATCGCCTGTCTGTCACCTGCCGACTACAACTATGAGGAGACCCTTAGCACGTTGAGATATGCAAACAGAGCCAAGTGCATTCAGAACAAGCCAAGGATCAATGAGGACCCAAAAGATGCCCTGCTTAGACAGTATCAAGAGGAGATCAAGAAATTAAAGGCAATTGTCTCGGGTCAGCTGGGAACCACTAAGTTGTCGAGTAAGTACAAGTGTTGAATAGAAGAGTCAAAGTGAGATTCAGCGATTATTAAAGCCCCATCTGCTAACTTTTCAGTCTCCATAAACCTGACTCTTTGGCCTTGAGGAGGGCCACCACCTTCTTGTTTCCATGGGAATGTTTTTCCTTTGGCTTTTATCTTCTACAGTGTGGCAGAACATGTTTATATATAGACAGGATATAGATCTATCCATCTTCAGAAAGTTAAGCAGTGTTACTTTAAAATAATGTAAATCTTGTGCTTGATTATCTTGCAGCTATGTTGACTGCTCAGTCTGGGGCGACTCCAGTCTCTTCAAGGCCCCTCTCCAGGGAAATAGAAGCTGAGAAAGAGAAGATTAAGGAGGCACTTAAACTTTTGCTGTTCACACACTCCACACCTCTACATGTACTCAGTAGGAGCTAGTGATTTATGACTCTCTGTGCTTCTTTCACTACAGGACTATGAGGCGAGGCTTGCCAAGTTGCAGGCTGAGTACAATGCAGAGCAGGAATCCAAGGCAAAGCTGCAGGAAGACATTGTCGTGTTAAGATTGTCCTATGAATCAAAGCTGTCTGATCTGGAGAAGGCTCAAGCCACCAGGGGGAGCTCTGAACCAAATAATGGTAAGACAAAATATGTATTGCCTGACACAGTTGTTAATTCTGAGAACACTTTCATTTTTTATATTTTGGCTTCTGATTGCCTTCTAAGTGGTTCTGACATTTGGTGACAGCAGTGAGTAATAATGGCTGTAATTTCAATAGTTGTAGTAAGTTTCAAATTTCTGCTCTAATGAATCTATCAGTAATACTGTATATGAATATATCATGGTAAATACATCTCATTGATAAAGATCTGTCTGCCTAAAAGAAAACCAATACAATTATAAATATGTCAATATAATTTGTTGCATGAAAACCATCTTAAATGATTTTACTTGGCATAATACTTTTGCAAAAAGCTATTACTTGCTTTTTAGAAAACAATTTATATTCATAATTAAATGTATTACAGTTGACATTTGACCACACAAATATAAACATCAGCTATAGAATGAATGTTATATATATATAAAGATATAAATATATGTATTTAAATAATGTATCAATTTTTCATTTAGTGAGTTTCAGCAAGCACATTTTTGTTGAAGAGGATTTACACAAAGCAGAGCTCAGCAGTAACAACACGGTACCTTTGACAAAACACACACACACGTATAAATAATATAAATATATAATGTAAATGACTGCAATACTCCTCTTGTTTTTGGTCTTAGAATTTTACAAAAAGCCAGTGTACTGTTGTGGATCAGTCTGTGGGGGATGGAACAGTTTCAGATGCAGAGAAGCTCACAGAGTCATCAAGAGTGTCAACAAAATCTCCCGACCAGAAAGACATTATAGAAAGGTCACTTATTATTTTACATTTTTTCACTACTCCTGGGCAGATAATACATTTTTAATGAAGATACATTCATTTTTGCTCTTGTCTTCTATAATTGAGCCTACTTTCAATAAGAGAATGAGTTGAAGCTGAGTTTTTTGTGTTAAAGGGCACTGATTTACAATCTATATTTTTCTGATTCAGGAAATTCATATAAAGCCATTATTTCTTCTCACAACGATTTGACCTTGTGATATTTGTCCAGGCTGCAGCAGCTGGAACAGGCTGTGGTTGGAGGAGAACAGGTCCGAAACCAGGAGCTGAGGCGGAGGCATCAACAGAGGAAAAAATTTGCTGACCAAAGACAAGTCCAGCTTGTCCAGGCACTGTCTGAGAACAGCGAGCAGAGTGAAAATGTGCTCTTTAATGTGTACAACTCCATTCAAGAGGAGGTTCATGCTAAAAGCCAAATGTTGGTTAAAGTTCAGGGAAAGGTGAGTAACAGCCACTTGGTTTTACCAGTATATGAACTGACCAAATAATATACTTAAAGGTTGTCAGTAGCCACTTACTGTTATTATATTGATTTTGGGTCAGTTTTATAGTTAACTTAATACAAAGCAGAACAAAAAATAGATTTTCAATCAAATAGATTTTCTAACATAGAGTACTTTGTGTATCTCTCAGCTCAGAGCGGCAAAACTGGAGATCCGAGACCTACAGGGTGAGTTTGAGGTGGAGAGGGATGACTATTTGGCCACTATCCGCCGACTGGAACGGGACGGGCAGCTCATGCAGAGTCTGCTGGAGCGTATGGTGCAACTCGTGCGGAGGGACTGTAACTACAGCAACCTGGACCGTCTGAAAAAAGAAGCAATTTGGGACGAAGAGAGCGCCACCTGGAGGCTGCCAGACGTCATGGTGCAAAAAACAACACTACCTTCAGGTTTAGTCATCTTCTTATGTTAATGCCTTCAGTACACTTCACTCAAATGTATGACACGTAACCAGTAGCCACTAGAGGGGTTTGATTGATCTGATCTGAGCTGTCTGTATCACTGGTGGTGGCACATGAGAGCCTTGGTACACAAGGTAATCTTTTGTTCAGTTCTGTGTCTTTCTTTTTGTAAGTTCTTTGTTAGAACGACAGTAGCAATTTTACAGTCTTATGTTAAAACCTGGCCTTGTCCTAGTTATGACCTGGAACCAGTTCTAGATCTAGTGTTGATCTGATGGAACTCAAAAAGCCTAAAAGCCAATATTTTCTTATGTGGTAATCCTAACCCTAACCACTGGTTTAGGATGTACAAATTTATTGTAAATGGAAAATGGGTAACAATAAAAATATATTGACTATGACATTTTAGCAGGTTTATTTACTGTAAGAAAATTATGGCATTATTCTACTTCATTGTATATTCACTTTCTGTTTATAGCTGTCCCTCAAAAACTGCCAACTGCTAGAGGTTCCTCTGCAGATTTAGAAGAAGTAAGTTTACAAATGTAAATAAAATGCCCCATTGCACATGCACTGCTACTGTTCTGTATTGAGCAGGAGGAAGAGGACAGATTTAAAGAAATGCTCAACCGCAGTGACAGTGAGAACATAGCAAACAGTTACTTCAAATCCAAAAGGACGACTCAGCTGCTGGGAGGAGAACCAAGCAAGGGACATGGTAGGAATTAAGGTCAAATCTGCTATTTAAATGAGCATTATGTAACTTCTCTGGTGGGAGTCTGCCACCTGCTTGTATTCATGGATAGATGAGTTAAATTTTATGTTGTGAAACAGTGATAAACTATCACCAGAAAAATTACTTGGTACATCTATTATTTTACTATAGATTTAATGCAGTTTGTTAATTGATTCTGCACAAGCCACTAATGCTAACTTGATTAAACTGTATCTTCTTTAGTTATCCACTCCTCTGCCCTCTATAATGGGACATCTCATCTGAGTCTGAGCAGCTCGCCTGTGAATGTGTCCATAAGCCCAGATTCTGTGATGCCCCGCCCATTTCGTCTGGAGTCTCTGGATGTTTCACTTTCAAATGGTAAAATCAGACGGAAAAAGGGAAAATCTCACATTTAAATCTTTTTATGAATCTATTTCTTGAATTATGTCACATGATCACCAGCATATGTGTGACATATCTCCTACAGACGCAGTTTGACTATACATTCTTTCATTTTAAAATAAACTGAGTGGTATTTGAAATGGACTTTATGAAGAATTGGCATTCTTTGTTTGTAATGACAAAAAATAACACATAAATATAAAAGAGGAATGTACACACCATTTGCTTTTTTCACAAAAGGGTGGAGCCTGTTACCATGACAAACTGTAGATCAGACTTCATGGTTGGACACATGACCAGTGTTGTCTAAGTTACAGGTGCACATTACACTCAAGCTTCATAAAGCATTTTACCACAAATGTGAAATATGACATGGTAGATATACTAATTGATACTTTTATACTATCATTTATTTCATAAAGAATATCTAATTTAAAGTAGTGCTCCATCACAATTTTCCATTATCCCCTCACATTTATTACATATGACAGAATTACATGAGTTGAATACTTCCAATTATGATGTGTTTTATTGTTATATAAAGTAAAATACAAATATTATCCACATAAATCAGTTCTGTGCTGTAGAGGTTTGATTCACCATCATTCCTTTTCACATAAGAGCAGAGGCCAAGTATCACATGTGGTCTGATTTCTTTGTCCATTGTTTGATATGGCTCCATTTGAGTTGTCTCAGTTTCAAAACGTGACACCATTATTGGCTCAAGCATGGACACAGTAGACACAGACACTGTCACTCGAGCCCCCAACCGATCTGTCCCGCAAGCTACACAAATCATCTGCGCTAAAGCTAATCATTCACCCACACAATCATTTGGTCCCATTAAGGCTGTTACATAAACTCTTTCAGTAGAAGGAAATAACAATAGAGGATATAAACAAGAGGAAAGCAGTGGTGTAAGTTAACAAAAGGGGCATGGGGCTAAATATAATCAGATAATGACAGAATCGCAGAGTGGGCTACATCAGTTGAGTGGACTGTAAAATGAGTAGTACGTGAATGGTAAGATGAGTAGTAGTATGACTGATACTGTGACTGGAGGTTTACAGGAAGGGCAACTGCATCACAAGGCTCTTTGTTTTGGCTTTAAAATTCTAATGAAAAAAAAAGAGAGAAATATATTAAAGGTGCATTGAGTAACTTTTCTTGTGGAGCAGCATCAGCTTGTCCTAAAGGGTATGTTATTGCTTTGTCTGGAATGTTCCACAGTAAGGCATTAAGTGGGTGACGCTTCCCCTACCAATTTATGTCACAGGTCAGTTGTGTGGAGAAGTGTTCTCTCTCAGTAAGAATGCATTTCTTACTGCATACAAGGTATTTTGAGCAATAAAACAACAAACAGCAATGATATAAAAGTGTAATACCATGCTGTAGGACATTCCAGGTAAAGTAAAATATCTCTACAACACACCATAACAAAACCAAACGCTGTGGAGGCCACATCCATAAAAAGCATTCATGAAAGTAATTGATTGTGTTAAACTAAACTTTTAAACTCAGGAATACAAACATCAGTGCAATTTATCCAGCATGTGGCATTGCATGCTTTCAATACAAGGCACTTAATGATTGCTATTAATGAATATACCAACGCACTGTGTGATAGACCATGAAGTAGCAGAGCAGTTAAAGAAAATCTGAACAATAAGATAAAAACATCAGCACTTAGAAACATACTTAAGTTCCAACAGATATAAAATGTATTAAAATACCCATTAGAAAAATCTTTGTAAACTTGCTGCTGTGCTTTTAAATTAGAAATGATTGCCCTATTTTTTAACACCAAAACAAAGCTATGTACAATTCCAATATTAACCAAATACCCTTTTCCCACATTAGACACATTTGAAATCCTTTGAATTTATTTGTGTGTATATTTGCCCTTTCTAATCCTCTTGGTTTTACTATGCCAATGCCAAAGTGCCAAGTGCTAAATTCTCCTCAAATCCTTTAATCCGCTGGACTCCTCCTGAGCCAACTCCATACGAGCAGTCAACATCTTTATTGCATTCAGTCTTTGAGCAGCCCCAGTTTCCTCAGTGCCTCCCTCCTGTCTGCACCCATCCCGGGGACCACCATGACAGTGTAGCCCACTGCGCTGGGGGTTTTAGGAGCTGCAGACTGGGCAGCATTAAGTCCTTTTGCTGGCTCAGATGGGACAAGATGGTGTGGTTCATTCCTGTAGTTGTTTTGTGGACCATTTTTCAGTCTATTGGTTTGATTATGTGTTCCAGAGGCCTGGTCAGGTCGGGATGAGTTATGGAAGCTGGCACTGCTCTGTAGACCCTTGCTCTTGGGCTCTGATGGTAAACGAGTGACACAAAATGACGGGCTCCTCATTGAGTTGTTTTTAGCTGGAGATGTGACAAATTCGCTAGTCGCTGAGTCCGGACCATCTTGAACTTTTGGTGTTGATGTAGGCAATGATGCTTCATTCGACTCTTTGATGAGGCCCAGTTTCTGCAAAGCTTCCTGTCGCACAATTTCCGGATTTGGCGTGCGCTTGACACTGAATGAATGACTTGAACCTAAAGCAGTTTGAGGTTTTGTCTTGGAGATATCTGTCGACTTTTTTGGTTTGAGAGGCACTGCTGGGGGAATGGTCCTAGACTGGGAGAATTCAGGGTGAAATCTGTCAAATCTAGATATGTTACTCTGAACAGATCCAGTAGTGGTATCCTGGTTAACAGACTCTATAGTATGATCCACTGAAGGACATAGTGGTGTTTTCTTTTCCGCTGCATTTTTCCTCAAGTAAACCAGCGCATCATAGGACAGAGGGCCTCTTTGTAAAGAACTGTCCACTGCTTTGCCAGAGTGCTGCTGTATTTTAGGAGGAATTATTACATTGACTTCTAATGGGACTGGGGGAGGTGCTGTACTCTGGGGGATTTTAGGATTAATTTCTTTATCAGAAACGTTGCATAAAAGATTTGAGGCTTTGTTCTTTTTTGGAGCAACACTTGGTTTAGCTGTAGATGACTGAGTACTGTTTGCAATGACAAAGGGTGTAGGAACAAGGTAGCTTGGTAGATTTTTGTCAACATTTGGTTTGACAGAATGTGTGCTGATTTCTCTCTCCTCACCTGCAAGACAGAAAAGAATCATAAATATTCTCTTTCTAGAAGCCTTCAGTCCCCATATTCCAACCTTTATTTGGTCAAATTAGTTAAAATCTTTATCTCAATTTACAGTAGAAATGATTTTTCGATTGGTAAACTAATCAAAAAATACTACTAAATATTAAAATAGTCGTTAGTTGCATCCCTAGAGGTCACTGTAATTGCTCACTTTTGGTTAGGCTTTGGTTGAAATGGGAGGTCAGTTCTGCCTGTTTGCTTGCCACAGTTCTAGGACGAGGTTTTTGCTCAGTCTCTTCATTCGAGAGTCCACTGTCGTCCTCTGTGTCCAGTGAGTCAATGGTCTCTTCCAAAAACATGAGACAGGCCTTCTCCTCAGCAGAGAGGTACTCCAGGCTGTCATCACTCTGAAATTAGCAAAATAAAATGTTAAATATATAAATTCTGGTTTTGCATTCAGTCACTTATTTGCATAAAACATTGAGCATGATTTTAAGCCCTGCTTAATTTAAAGTGCATGTGACAAGTTATAATATCTTTTTTCATTATATTTTAGATTTTGATTAAAGTTGTAAACATTTTTCATATTTTGACAGCTTTGGTGTTCGCAAAGTATACAATTTTACTTCCTGGTTGAACACTGGAGATGTGACATATGTGAAGTAATTCCATATTTGTATTGCATTGAGGGGATTCCTTTTAACTATAATTTTCAATTTTTTCTACTTTTCTTCACAACTTTAAGTACTTTTACGTTAAGGTAATTGTACTTAATTTGAATGGGTTATTTTAACTATAGAAAAACTCAATGTTATTTACTTACAAAACCTGAATTGGTGCTCAGGACACTGTCACAGCTGCCGGAGCTGTCGGTGCCGGGCATGGCCTCCAGTCCAGTGCCTCCCGGCCATGTGTCACTTTTGGGCATGTTGCTGCCCCACTTCACCAGGCAATAGATGCACAAATGAATACGTCCTGATATCTGTCAAACATAAACACAGTTGTGGATACAACCATTAAAGGTGCGGTATGTAGAGTCCTCCACCTACTCGTCTCCAGGGAGGTGTTGTTTTGCTTGGAATGTTCCACAGTATGGCATTAAACTTTACATTGCATTTATTCCATTACTGCTTTTATTGCTCAAAAATCTTGCAAAAACATGCATTCTGTGAACAGGGACAGACACACCTCTCCACAGATCTGACCTATAACCTTGCCTCACCCGCTTGTCTTCATTCAGATAGATACATTAAATGTTTTATTGTGGACCATTAGGCAAAGCAATAATGTGAAGATAAGTAAGTTGCCAACCAGAAAGGTTACATGGTGCACCTTTAAGTTAAACATTACCTTTAAGTTAAACATTACATTATTACCTGGTGTTAAAAAGTTAATTGTCCTACATTGTGCTGTCCATCTGAGCCTCCCTGAATGAGTGTCATTGTTAAACGTGTTTCTGACAGATCTCCTTCTCACTAGTCCTCCTTCTGCATGTGACTCGGATTACAGCACACATGCTACTCCTAATCTTCCTGAATGGGATCAGTTTCAGGAGGTAGTAGAGGGCGCGATAAATAATCTGCTCAAATATATGGCAGGATACATGATAGCTGCTCGTCTGGCCATGCTGTTTTACTACTCTAGCTCACAATTAGACTTATTTGTACAGGGACCCTTTGACGGTGTAGTAATGCACGGCATAGATACAATAGAAAGAAAAGTTGTAGTCAGCAGTTTTCATAATAGTCCAGTATTGGACTACAATGTTGAATGCAGTTGCATTTTAGGCATACTTATTGTGACCAAATTATTTTTATAGCCCATACTTTAAAAATCGATGTTTCAACATCTGTTTATCATCAGTTTATCATCTAGAATAGTCTATAAATCCCTGCAATCACCGTAATGGAAACTCAGTACATCACATGCCACTATCATTATCAAATGATCTTTCTGAGTTTGGGTTGTATTGCCTTGGCCTTGATTTGTAATGGTAAAGACTTACATAAGGTTTGTGATGCAAGTCCAAGTCACATCCATTTGACAATAACAATGGATGGATGACAATAGCAGCTGTACAAAAATAACTAAATAACTTGAAATATTCTATCTGGGCAAGAAGCCAAATTCACGTTTCAGTCTATTGCCCTTTTCCCCATTATGACTACGTGATAATAAAAGGCCAGCCCAAGACTGATAAACAAATGATCACAGACATTATGCAACAGCTTTAAATCCTAATAATGGATTACCTTTAGTTAGATACCTCAACCGTATTAGTATACGATCATTGTAGTCTATATGTCATGTATCAAAACACTAGGAAATATTTTATTGATCTTGTCTTTCAGTTTAAAACTTTGGTCATCTCTTAGATCTAACCTGATGTATACTTTATATTTCAGTTATGATGTAAGACTAGTCTACTGAAATAAAGTAAAACAAACCTATGTTGCGTTGGCAATGTATCACAAGCTGCGCCTAAAGTACGGGAAATGCATTTACAATATAAACTAGTGTAACAGGCTAATACGCACTCACCTGTGTTCCGTTGCTCCTTACTGGCCCACGCACTGGCCGATGCACTGGCCCAGACTCAGCTCCGGTTCAGCGCCACACTTCACCTGCACCAGGACTGTGCGCTGAGCCTCAGCCAATCACAGCACGCCGTGCTCCTAAACACGAGAGGCACGCACTCCAGGCACACGGGGCTACTACAGATTACATTATTAACTACTTCTTATTTAGTCTTAATATATTGTTTATTTTTTTATCATAATGCATTATACAATTCTGACCACTGAAATGGCCATACAAATCATCCCCAGCTATTTATTGTATGAAGTACGAATTATCTAAAGAACTAACTAGACACAGTTACAGTTCATAATTATTTGAGATAATGTAAGTCAGTTAGAAGTTGTTGTTTTTTTTACCAAATATTGATATACAAAAAATCACCACACACAATAAGCCACTTGCTATAGCTTTTAATAAGACAGAATAAGTAACTCCAGTGGTTTTGTAGTGCTCTGTGTTGAACATTCATTGTTATTGTCTGTCATTTTCCACAGCCTTGAGTTGTAATAATCAAACCATTATACGAAAACAACTTTAGTAACAGAATAGAGAACTTGTATAGTTTATAGTTCACATTCAAATTAAAAATGTATCATTTTATTCACTCATCACCACTCAAAATCATTACATTTTTGGCAGCACACACACACACACACACTTATGCACATGGTGAGGCAGCAGTGTACTGTACATTATCATGATGACACCCAAGCATTATTAAATAGTTGTGATTTTAAGTGCACGTTGCAGTGTTGTCAAGGCCAGTTGTAGTTAGGTGAACATGCTTTGTTTAAGACCAAAATACTGGACACTCAACATACTACTACTAATAACTGTATTCACCAACAAGCAAAAGTCATAGTTGTGTACTGAGTTATAACAATATCACTGAGAAGTCAATGTAATTTTTCATGACAATGTAAGAGAAATATTTCACTAGTAAAGAAATGGATGGTTGTTGAAAGCCTAAAAATGAAAGGCCTACTTATTCCAAAAAGTAATACAAAATGTATAAAGCACCATTATTTTTTTTAAAAGCTATCATGTAAAGTATGCACTGCTGCAGAGTTAAATCTGTTTGAAAACTAGTCACCTAGTTGTCAAGATGACAACCAATAAAAGGTATACCCTACTGATGGGTTAAAGACTTGTGCGTGTATTTAAACTTGGGATGCAACAATACAGTTTTTGCATGACAGCAAATGTTTCCTCTATTCTTTTTTATGCTAATTATTAATTTAAAAAAAACATTATTCTGTATTATATTGAGCAGTAGAAGACTTAAATGACTGTGCTAGATAACTGTCCCTACGTAAAGTGAGATGTCACTTGTCACTTCCAGTATTTAATCAGTCTGAAAAAGAACAATTAGTTCTTGAGAAGATTCCATGATCGTTATGTCTTATAACAAAATACTGGTGATGGGGTTTTGCTAATTTATTTGTAATAATGTAGAATACTGAACAGGCCAGAGGCTGAACACTGTCTGCAATTTCAGTGAACAATGTGAGGTAGAGGATCACACAAGCAAACGGATCTTAAAAACTGTCACACGTCGACATAGAGTTAGTGGCGGTTGTATTCAAAACTAAAGGGTGCTTCACACCTCCCCAAAGTTGGTGTGGCCTGTTTCCTTGGCATGCTCACGCGCTTCCTTCTGCCCCACCAGGCCTGTCTGACACACCATGCAGCGCAGGGAAAAGCGGTTAACGTCCGTGAACTGGCGCTTGCGGCGAGCTTCGTCTGCCAGCTCGAGGGCTTGTGCAAGGATTACATCATCTGTGGTCGAGAAGATAGTCTGGGGTGGGGCATCTGAGCCGGGCGTTTCTTTCTGTAGAGGGTCGTAGTGGATGCCGTCATAGATTAGCAGCACGCGTTTGTTATATCCAGCGTCCTCGCCAAATCTGTCCACGCGCACAGTCTGAGTATCCACCACGCAGATCTCACACTGGTAAAACTTGGACATTATAGACACCTCAATGGCCCCGCCCCAAGTGTCGTCACGTTTAATCCAGGTGCAGTACTCGTCATTGGTCTTGCCCAGGACTGCTTCAGAGTACATGTCAGGGTCACTGGACACAATCTGAGCAATAAGGCGACGCATTTCAGGGGCACAAGCGGGGTCGTACATGCCCCCTTCCACCACATAATACACACTGGTGAAGAGGCAGGAGTTGTCTGCGGGCACTACTCTGCGGGCCAGTAGAGGAGAGGCGTCCAGGCGAGGGGGTTTATTCACAGTGGAATTATCCTGAGGTTTTGGTTTGTTCTTCTCTTCTTCAACAATCAGTGTGTCTCCTGGGAAAAATAATAAGTTAATGAAAAGTGGCAACAGTGCTGCATATGAAGTCTGAGTCAAATTTCACTCTGCACATCGATACTGTATCATACCATCACGCTTGAATTTAACTTGACCTATTGAAACTAGCTTGAAATCACAGTTATCTGTAAATCTGTTTACTCTAAAGGCACTTCAGTAGGTCTTCTGATTAAAAGAGCATGCCTCTGAGTCATACCTGATTTGATGGGGTAATCTTTGAGGTGAGCATCTCCATTTCGAAGATCCAGGCTGGAGGGAGGGTAACCAACCATTATTTTCTGCACATCACACGGTATGCCAGTGAGCTCCTCCACTTTGCTCTTCAATTCTTGCACACATGATTGGTGAGTCAAGCCTTGCATTATGTGGCTCCCATTTTTGGTCTTACAGCGTAGTTTTAGCATCCTGTAAAAAAAAAAAAAAAAAAAAGATAGTAATAGACAATTACAATTAAGGACTTAGTTTAATTACTCTGCACATGGTACAGATAATGCACACACATTATTGCAAAATATTCAAGCTCACAATATTGGTTAACACAATATCAGTTGTGGTTGAGCAGTGGAATATAATAAGTCACAGGATGGTGATTCAGTACTAGCTACCACAGATGCATACATACACTGGTTTATGTGAGTTGAGGAAAAGTGCCACAAAAACATGGCATACATCGTATATATCAAAAGACATTAAATATTAAAGCAGGTAAAGTGAAGGTTCTTTATTTGAAGATATACAGTTTATGGTACCAATATAACGATGGTACTAAAAATATTAATGCGATAGTTTTAGTTCTACATTACAACTTGCTCTTATCAACTTACAATATAATATTTCAATAATATAATTCATTAATGCCAGTTTAAATATGGGAATGAATAGACCCAGCGTTATGTGTAAATCGATTGGTCTAAACAAACCATTGTAAACACAACAGTGACATTAACTTTGCTAAGTATCTTAAAAAGCTGCCTGCTCGCTCACAGTTTTCTCCATAGCAGTGACAGACAAGTATTTTATGGGGGAAATAAACCAAACAATTAAACTGCTGATGAATAGCAGAAGAGTCCGAGTGCTGAAATCTCTTTGTACTTTTCCATTGTTCTGCAATGACCAGTGGAGTTGTGCAAACAAATGAAAACACACCGGGAAAACGTGCAGACAAAAGTGTCTATAAGGGCGGGGTCATTTCCATGAAGCACAATCAAAGATTTAGTACGATTAGAAAAGAAAACGCTTTCTGTGCCGACTGACTTATGCTACTAACGTTAGCAAGCTAATCCCTTCGTTAAATTGTATGAAACCAATGACAAAGCAAATCATGCCGCTTTTGATTGAAGTTGATCTCGGGGACTTTGACCAGTCTAAAAACAAGTGAACTATCATTTATGGTCGTTTAATTCTTAGGTATTTTATTGTCCTACCTGGTCAATGCAACTGCTCCAACAATAAACAGCCAGTGGAGCCGAGCGTTGAGTACGTCACTACGCGTTTACAGTGCGTCCTCCCGTCACGTTACAAACCACGCCCCAACCGTAAGTCCTATAGTAAAAGGGCACTTGAAACTAGCAATATTTTTCTAAATTTGTATTATACTACAGCAGGAAGATCTTGTTGGAAATGGATCGGAAATAAATTAACGAGAGCCATTTGAAGAATTTTAGTGAGTTTATTTAATAACACATTGTTTATGATAATAGGCTATTGCATTATGCAAATTTAAGTTGAGCTTTGTTTCCATGCCTACATGTTCCCAAAGGCACATCTGGCTATGCCTATCCCCAGGCTCCTAGCCCTAGAAAATGCAGGACCACCCTCTGTGAACAAAACTACTAGTAAGTACATGAAGGATGGGATTGAATAAGATTTTGATAAGAAAGTAAAACAATATAACAAAAAAATATTATTTTAGACCAAGCATTTATGCATACAAGATGTAGAATATGTTTATACTTTTTGTTTTGATGTTTGAAATTGTTTTAAGAAAACGTATGACTCATTGTAGACACAGAAAACTTCATAACATTCAGAACAACTGTCAACACAGAGAATAATAAGTGATAAAGTATAGTGCTCATAAGATTTCCATTTGTTCAGATTTTTGGTGCAGAAGCAGATGCATACTATTTAGTGCATTAATGAATAAAATATATTTTATAACTTTCTATGGCATCAGATTGCCCTCTTCAATCAGAAGCTGACACCTTCACTAGTTTCTTCTGGGCTGTCAATGTCGGCTCCTTCAGACAGGCATTCCTTTAAAAAAAAATCCACAAATTACCAACATATTCCATGTGTTACAATGTTGTATGGTTAATAAAACAATATATAATATAGGTTCTCTAGTGATATCGCATGAAGGGACACAATGAAGTGAGTTGAAAGAAACAACAAACTTGGAATTCTGATTAAAAAATACTCACACACAAGAGCTTCCAATCCAAGTCTGTAATACAGATGTGGAAAAAAGAACAGATACAAATATGGACAAGAGAGGAATGAATTACCAAGGCAAAATAAAACACAATATGAATATGCAGGACAGTTTTCTGACATGTCATTGTGAATTGATCCAAAGTCAACTTTCGTGTGTGTGTCTTTTGGTAGTCGACATTACTGATCGCCAAGGGAAGTTATTGTTGTAAGAATTTTTTACAGCAGGATGATGTGTAGCATGCTGTATATCCATGCAAGAAACAGCCATATCATGCAAAATACAAGTTTAAGAAATCACCAAACCAAAAAAATGAAAGAATGCCCTGAGACAGGATGATTTCCATCAAATCACACCTTAGTTAAGGGAATGCAATAACATGGACAGCAGAGGGAGCTGTGACACTGACTATGACCCGATGACACTAACTATCACTAACTTGGCTTGGCCGTCCCTCTGGCATCAGGGCAGCAGGAGTGGGGGCGAGGGGCAGCCAGGGCTGGTTCCCTGCACTGTAGAGCCTGGGACGCTTGACCTGGTCGTAACTGGACAAGGGGGTGTAACTATTCCTTCGGTGAATGAGAGAAGTGTCCCTCGGCACAGTACCCTGGTAGGAAGTGAGATACCACTGGTATTAAAGAAAACATGGAAGTAAAAACATGCATACAGAAGAGTTGAGTGGTGGACCCTTAAGATTAGTAAAGACTTCCAGTTACATAGGGAGTGGAAAAAATATCAACAATGCAAGGCAGGGTGAAGCCATGCTTAGCACTAGGCATTGTTCAATGCATCTCTTAGAGCCAAGCCCAAGCTTAACTAGGTTTCTAATTAGTGACTAAGAATTTTATTGCTATAATGCATTCACAGAGCTAAGCTAACAGGCAAAACACATTTCTTTTTGGTTTTGTTTTGTTTCATTGAAAAAAAAAAAGTGTTTTACACTACGCTAATACTTTTTACTGTAAAAAAATAAAATAAACAAAAAAACTAAACTAAAATCAGAAGCACACTTACAAGTGGTCGATCACGGTGTGTGTTGACCGCCTCCACATTTAAGTTAAACATTTCCACTTTGCAACCTGAAAAATACCATCATGGAACAATTACTACTATGTCTATTCTATGTATGTCATAATCCCATAGTATAGTAATGACTTGGTGAATTTGTTTTTTCATACCATAGGCAACAGGAGTGAGCTTTAGCACTGTATGGAGTGGGCATTTCATGTAAGGTAGATCTTCTATAGAAAAGTGATTTCATTAGTGAGAATGGAAGGCTGGAAAAATCTATGAAAAACAAGTTATGTTTATCTGACCTGCACTTTTATCCAGGAAGTATGCAAGGAGGCAGCGCATCACAGCCTGGTGGCAGATGACCAACACATTGCCCTGTCTCTCCAGTTCCATGATGACAGGCTCCAGTCTCTGGACTAGGTCTTGGTAGGACTAAAGAAAGAAAGTAAATCATAATAAAGTTTGCGTGACAAATTCTGCGGAGGTAGACATAAGCACCTCTCCGCCTGGGTAGCGATAATGGTACTTGTCCTGGTCCCTCAAAGCAAACTCCTCTGGGAATGTTTGCTGGATCATGTCATAGGTCATTTCCTCACATACACCCTAGGGAGTTAAAACACATTTCATATTTAACAACATTATGAAGCTCTGATATATAAAATCATATTATTTACAATAATACATATTACGTAAAATTAACATTGTTAAAAAGGAAAACAACATTATAACAAAAAGCAGATTTTACATCCTTAAAGAACTAAAATACTGACAGCGTCAATTTCATTAAGTATCTTCCACTGTTCATATGGCACTCCCAGCTCCTCTGCAGTTTGTATGGTCCTCCTCAGCTGGCTCGTCCAAACCTTCAAATCAGACAGCCTGTGTTCTTCAATGAAGTCATGCAAAGCGTGGGCAAACTGGAAAAAGAGACAGAGAGACACTGAAAGTAGAGAGAAGAAAGAAAATTACCTGAGAAGTACACACCCTGGTCCAAATGAAACAAAGCATACAGTATTTTATGATTAACTAGTTTCTGCCAACATATCAGAGAAATCACTTCTTCAGCTCTTTACCAGCTATTATTTCATTGTTACTGTAATTTATAGGGATAGATTGTCCGTGAATTATGTTTATATAATGTAATAAAACGTGTATAATATTACACAGTATTTTCTAGTATAACAGGTCAAAACATTTTGTTGTACCTGTTTTCCTCGAGGTGACAGTTCAGAGTCTCCTCCGATCCTGCCCTCCATGTTATGGCAGCTCTCTCCGTGTCTGCACAGGTAGATGCAGTGGGAGTGCACCCGGATGTTCATGAGGTAGTACACAATCTTACTCTGGATGTAGTCCTGCACCCGGTTCACCAGAAACCGTTGGCCAACGTTCATCACTTTGATAAAAGACAGGTCCCTGCAGGAGAGAGAGGCATTGTGTAGGTCGCCATCTATCGTACAGTGTACAAACTGCAATAAGAATCTAATGATTAGAATGATCAAGTGCACCAATAATGTGGCATAAGTTTGACAGAGAAAACTCACATGTGTTTTGGTTTTAAGTATAATTTTCTGTTGTTAGATAAGATGTAAAATACATACAGTGACTAGAAGAAGTTTTTTGTTGTAGAATTTGCATCATGTTGCTTTCTAAGCAGTACAGATAGCATAATAGGGATGAATGCTAAAATGCTTTTGTATCTTACTTGTCATAGTCATCTGGATCTAACGGCTGGTATGTCACTTTATAACATTCAATTCTTTTGAGAAAGTCATCCATCACTCGTTCACGATGTCGTTCGGGGTAGTCTGGACTTGACACTTTCACTTCCTGGGACACACATTTTGCTTATTTGAACAGTGTTAGTGAGCATGTTTGCGCAACTCTTTATGAGACTATAAATAGGTAATGAATTTGACCTCAACAAAAAGGCACAGTCAAAAGCCCTATATATGACGTAAGATCGTACCAAAATATTGGCAGCAATAACCTCCGGGTCGTCACACACGGACTCCACAAAGAACACCTGTCACAAAGGGCACACTGTCCAGACTTTGGCGTGGCTAATTATAACCAAAGTATTATTTTTACATACATACCTTGAAAGCATTTTCTTTAACGAATGCTTGAATCAGGTCTCTGCGTTCTCTTGTTGTGTTTGTGGCATCAAAAACCTTCAATAATCCAAATAATAATCTAAATAAATCATAGCATTTTTAAGGTGAGATGAAAGTAAAAAGTGTGTACTCACTGCAATCTGACCCTTCTCTTCTGTTAGGTAAGCCTTCACATCCCGTAAAGCTATCAGCGCACACTGTCTGCAAAAATATACAATATAGCTGTATAATAAAACAATCTTCAAAGTTTAATGCCACATTGTGGAACATTCACATCAAAGAAATAACATCTTGGATACACGCAGAAAAGTTTTATTGTACACTCGTTTTGGGTTTAGATCTACTGCAGTATGAGGCAGGATTCACAGATTCTTCCAGCTTTAGAGTGACAGCTGTGACATACGCAAATCTGGGTCATGGTGCTACAGAGGGGAACTCTCAAGAGTCAGATTCACATATTTCATCTGGGCCTATAAACCGACACTGCAGGACTATTTCAGTGCAATGTGCATAGTCACTGATGCAGCAGCACAAAACAGCAGCATCATCCACACTATAGGGACATGATGGTACTATAATGCTGCTATACAATGGCTGTAACTTACTTTCGTATCCTCATGGCTTCCTCATTGTCATGGCGAAAGAAATCGTAGGACTTATAAGATCGAACAGCCTCTCTGCGGTACACGCCCAAATTAAACACTAAAGACACAAACTTTAAATGGTTAGGTCATCAGGATTACAAAATAAAGTTGGTATTAACAATGAAATGCCAAACCCATATAGTACATATTATTGATGGTGCAAACAGTAAACAAAATGTGAATGCAGCTTCTTGTTACACAACCTGCTACTACTACTGTACTAGGTCTATACTAGGTCTAATTCCAGAGCATTCTAACCATTCCAACTATTCAGGAAAGGTCCCTTTTTAATCATTATCTCTATACTGTTTTTGTATTGAGTAATCTGAACCTAATTTTTATTTATTTAATGCTATATTCTAGACTTCGTGACTTATGATGATATATGGAGGAATGCATTCATTAACCTAACAGGAGTTAGCATAGAAAATAATGAAAATATATTAAAATAACTTTTAAAGTGTCTTGAGGTGTTGCATTTCATTCATAAGTTACACTGATTAAATAAATATAAATGTATCACATGACAAGTTTTACCTTTAGTTGGGACACCAATCCAGTTAAGATAACGTGTGAGTTTTTTGGACATGTAAGTTTTGCCCCTGGCCGGTAGCCCAATCATCACAATAACTGTTGGTGAATTGGTCATGTAGGATGCCCAAGCTACAAAAAAGATTTAGATGTTATGATTTACAAGCACTTTGGTAATTATAAAAAAATAATTTATAGAAATAGACAGGATTCTGCGTTGGTTTATGGTAGGTATTTGATTACAATGTGTTTTGTTTTGTCATTAATTGTTTACAAAACTTTCTATTTGTACTCTAAATAAATGACGCAGGTGCCCTTTCTTAGATAAGTAACATTAAAGCACATTATCATTGTTTGGTCTAGTGTTACAGGCACCTGCAGGTTTGCAGAATCTAATCAAGGACCCAGTCACTTACAGCATTTTTTCTCATTTATTCTCATGTCTGCTTTCTTCTCTCTGTCCACTGAGTTTGCAGGATCTGTCTGATTGTTGGACATGCTTGAGACGGGGTTCAAAGACTCATTTTCTGGTTTGAAATAGAAAATTATAAAAACAAAGATCAATTCAACAAGGGTGTAGGAGTAGTTTGTGAAGATGAACATTTGGCAACACACATTTACACTGCAAGATTGAATGTGAAATCTGTAAAATTAGTGTCCTTTAGCTACAATAATCTGCAAGGATCAGACCAATTCTACACACACAGCACATCAGTTCTCATCTGCTCAAAACGTTGTAAATATTAGATACTGTGGAATATTCAATTTAATCAAATTGTATTCTGAAAGGAATCTATAAACTTCCATGTTCAAATTCATTTTATGTCCACATAGCCATGGAACATCATGCAGGCCGATCCATATTCCTATCACAATAGAGCAATGTGATTTTACCTGCTGCCTGCTTGGTGTCCTGATCTCCTGGTTCTCTGTAAGGGGTATAGCGCAGATGTTCGGGTACTTTGACCGCAGAGTGCGTTGGGTGCACTGTGACTAATGCGAGCGCCAGTCGCACCGGTCACACCTCGGCCTGTCCTTGCAGAGTGACCACTGTCACTGCGCGCGGGAGGTGTGCAAGTGTGCAACGCGGCATGTCAAATTTACCGTAATGTTCATAGTAGAACCACCCCTTTGCAGAGCCGAGTATCAGACTGCAGATTAGGCAACTTTTTTTTTTGAAGGTGATTATTGTTCAGTATCATTATATTCAGTTTAATGTTCTAATAGTAATGTAGTAGTAATATTGTGTTTATGCTTTGTTAAGTGACTTGGGTGTTATAAAGGTGCTTATTGATCAAATTATTATTATTATTACAGTATCCATGATAAATGAATATACAACATTCGTCAAATATTTTATTTCATCTGCTTGCATGCCATAGAAAAGTCTTAAAATATCAATCAAAATGACAAAGTACCTCTTCAACTGAGTCTTAAAAATAAATACAGTAGGTTTATTCCACCATTTTCCTTGGTCAAGCAACTTTACATTAACATTAACATTGCACAAATATCTTGCTGTACATTTATTCCTTTTGATAGACTTATTTTGATTTTAAAACCACCAGTAAAACCCTGCCATGACGTCACTATAAAGCCATTTAAATTACTATGTGTGTCTGAAAATGCACAATTATATTTGTTTAATAACTGCACTAGTTTTGCAGTTATTAAAGTTATACACTGGGTGACATTCATGGTCATAGTTATGTTTCAGGCTAGAGACAGAGGTAATGGAAAGTGTACCAGCTGGGCAGCCAGTAGTGGGGCATGTGACAGACTGCCAGGGGCATTCTAGGCTTGCCACAGGAAGTTGGATGGCACAGACATTTCCATAAGTGTCAGTAGGTTGGCACACATTTGATTTGATTTATAGATAAATGAGACACACATAGGGTCTCTTTCATCTCCAGTGTTCATCTGATAGTGGTATGCCTGGTTCACATTAAGACTTGATCTTCCAAAGCTGTGGAGAAAAACATAGCATTGTAAAAAGGGTAACATGGGTTAGGTGCTAATGCTTAAACAGACAAAAATGTATTTCAATAGTTCAATTCAATTTAATGGGAAACTTGTGCATTTTGTAAGCTCTGTGTACTGCATTTATCATTCAAATATTGAATTATTTCAAAGCCATTCCACTTATTCAAGCCAGAGGGCAGTATTGTGCATTTTACATTTTCTTGAAAAGAGAATGAAGTTTCACGGACAGATACATAAACATCAATATTTCTTTCAATCTTGTTGAATGATTATAGTGTAAAATTGTTGTAAAAGTTCTTCAAATGTGTACACCATTACAAGAAAGACATTTCAAAACAGACTACCTAATGATATAAATATGAAAAAAGGATTTACTCTGATGTTGAAGCCGAGCAGGTCACTGACCACAGCCGACACAGCAGACAGAATGACCACTTTGGTGATGTTGTAGATTAGAGGGTTCACAGTCAAACCCAAAAGTCTGAATGGAGTATCCAGCTCCTAGAATAGATGAACCATATTTAAGCCTACTGTAGTTAATGGTACATGTTAATATAAATATTTATATAAATATAAATATAAATATAAGGTATCATCCAATTTGAGCCTACCTTCATTAGTTTTGTAGCCAGCTTCAAAACATTGTTAACAATATTTAATTCTTCTTTCTTGTTGGGTTTTTTTTCCATTTTAAGATACAAGTTAATCTGAAATAATTATTAAATTGTCACTTTCCGGTAAATAACCTGTAATGTTTATAACTGTGAATGCTGTTTGGAATTGTTGTGTTACCTGTTCAGTGAGTAGAACTGAGGAGTTACTGTATTTACTGTTTGTCTCTGAACCTAAAGTGGCCAGTCTCAACAGAAAGAGGAGGAGGGAGGGTCCCCACACAACAAGCTCCCAATTAGTTAGCGACTCCAGGTATGTCTTATGATTGTGTAAAAGCTGAAGAAGAAAACATTTTATTTAGCCTCGAGAGCAATTCCATAGAAACTGTAGGTCGAATATACTAAAGGTCAGACCTGGGCGCAAACAATGAATGAAATAGAAAGTGCTAAAAGGAAAATCGTGGAGACAATGACGTCAACAGAACGCTGAGGCCCTCTTCTCTGCAATAAAAAAGAAAAAAAAAATTGACTTTTCAGTGCAACCGTAAGAGAACATGGTCATTTGAGGCTAATCCATACTCTGAGAAAAGAGCGCAGAGACAACCACATCTTTATGTTCTGCACTTTCTTCAGTCGAAAATGAGGGACCTCGGACTTCTTGGCCTTTCGCGCTGAGGTTAGATGGCTGAAGAACTTTGCAAATAGCAGTCTCTGTAAAAAAAAAGTATATAGATCCTCTTTATGTTAACAATGTGGCTTCACAAATGATGACAAGAGTTAAGGGAGACAGTTAAGGGATTAACTTTGGACAGAAATTTCCTAGATGGAAAACTGTGAACATGAAATTAAATCAAATGATACACAATACTTTGTTTAAAAATGTCAATAGGGTTATTACCATGTGACTTCTGATTTTATGGGAACTTATTGGCTATGCTGAAGAGGCAAACAGACAAACACCCTCTCACCTGTTGATATGTTCTTTCAGCCACACACATCATAAAGAAGAATAGTCCAGTGAGGCAGATTCTTTGAACTGTAGTGATAAAGTAAAACACATAGGATTTGGCATCACGTGGCCCCACTGCCTTTTCCAGTATCTCAGACAGAGACAGAGAGCTGAGGCTGGACATGTCCAGTTCCTGAGCCAGCCGAAAGACAAAAGGAAGCAGAGCCAATATGACCGTAACCACTCCACCAAACATCAGGTAACCTACACCCTGCTCCACCATCTTCACCTGTTATTAGAAAAGGAAATTTGTGACACTTAAATAAATAAAACTGTTTAATGTATTTTATAGTATTAAGTGTGTACCCGTGTTAGGATGATTCCACTTATCTCCAATACTGACATGTCAACCTTCTTACACTCGCCCTGTTCCCAAATAATGGCACTGACTTTGTCCTTGGAAGGATGACAAGCTTGAAGCCAAGACAGCTGGTTCTGCAAAGAACAAGTAAGACTCCACAGAATAACATTCCATTAAATTCAGTCAATTCTAAGTGAGTATGAGGCAACTATGCACTAAAAGCCATTTACTCAAATTAAACAGCTGGGGGCGCCATTGTGTAACAAAAAAAACTAAGTGAGCTCTAAAGCTAGACAAATTACATAATTACATAGTAGTGACTACAGCTGTCAAAGAGCTAATCAGCTCTAAACGTATATATAGGGAGCTTAATATATTTTCCAAATAAGTATTTTACAAAACAACCATATTCGTACAGTGTGTGTTGGTGATTCTTACTCCTGTGATGCTCTGATGTAGGCTCTCATCATTGCTGCTCTGAGAGGAGCTTTCCTGGAGGGCCATGGCCCCTCCACTGTACCTCGCATTGGGCTCACTGTCACTGCTCCCTGTGGAGCCAGTGTCTGGGCCCTGAAGAAGCTCCTCCCACATCGTATCATCAGTGTCCGAGGCCTGACGAGGGCTCACATCTGGCTTAAGACGCTCCAGTTCTCGGGGTTTCATCCTAACAGCAGACACATTTCCCTCCTGAGATTTCTGCAAAGACAAGTGCATCCAGAAATGTGTCTGTTGAACAGTCCATTCAAATTTTACATTTGTACACACCTGAGGTCTCACAGCAGGTTTAGAGTGAGATTTTACATTTCTTCTTCTGACAGTAAACGCTGAATGTGTTGATTTACCGTCTTCTCTCTCAGGTAGTGAATGAGTGTCCTCCAGTGACTGTAGCCCATATTCTTCATCACTTGACAACTCATCAGAAGCTCCAAAGCCACACTTATTGTTGTTCTGCTAGAAGTTATAATATTTGTTTATGAAGAAGATGTAATAGTGATTAGGAATTATACTGTAATTATGTATATTTGTAATTATGTAATTTATGCAAAAATACAAGCTGGACACCTCATTTTTCTTGTCTGTCCCGTTGGTCCCCTCTGGTAGTTGGGCATCCACACTGTCATTTTGTTCCTCAGACTTTTTGGAACCTTTGCTCTTCCTTGGCCTAACATAATCAATAAAGTTAAAGGTGTGAAAAACACTATATGAAATGTCACAATAAAAGCCAATCTATTGTGGATTAGAGGCCTTTGGGAAAGAATGCTTTTGTGTAGTCAGTGGATTTTTGCCTGAGCCAAGTGCAAATGTGTGCTCAGAGCATAACAATGGTGCCCCAACCTCCTCCTGCGAGCTGGGCTAGTTGTGTTGCTGGCAGCTGGACTGCCTGAAGGCCACCGGCTGGACTCAGTCGACACAATTTGGCAGTGCACAGTCCCCAACAGCAGCATGAGACACATGGGCCCGAACACCTCACTGGCATTTGCCCCAGGGACGTCCAAGTACAGCACCACCGTAGCAACTGAAAAGTGCAGCAAATATGCTAAATCACCCCTGTAAATCTCTTGGTTGAGGTTCAATTGCATAATACATGACCATAAAACCAAACACAAATGTGCAAAAATTACTATTTATAATGTTTTTTGAATGATTTCACTTCAATATGTTTTATTTTTAATCAGCTTTATGCAGCCTTTTTATTACAGAGTACTACATCATTGTGCATCCCTGCTAAATAACTACTGTAATATTATCATCTTTATTACAAAAGTTATTCAACATTTTAGACATTGATTTTGTGGACAAACCTTGTATTAAGTAGAGTGCAAGGATGCATATGGAGACAGACTTGCAGGTCACCTGTATCCACCACTGGAAGAAGAAAGGAAAGAGCAGCACTCGCACCAAACCCTTCCTCGTCAAGGCTGTCCAGGGACTCTCTGGTTTAGCTTTACTAAATGTTGACCCTGAAATAAAATTATTTAAATTATACAGGTTAAAAGTATTACAATACATAATTAACTAAAAATTATTACAATTCACAAATCAGACATAATCACCTCGTACTAAATCAACATCTATGAGATCTTGTTTAATGTGACCGGTCTTCTTTGGTTTGGTGTGTAATCCCTGGCCAGATAATAAAAGTATTTTATATCTTTAGCATTGAAAAAACACACAATGAGATTAGACTTACTAAAATAAGTTTATCTTACTTTTAAATCGGCTTGTTGCTCCAAAGATTTCTCCCAGACTTGCTGGTCATAGGCACCAATCTGTAACAACATCAATGAAATTGCAGTACTTTTCCAATGTTATTGATGTACAATAAGCCAGTAAGCAAGTAACACTATAGAACATACAGCTGAGGGTTTATATTTAGGAAAAGCTATTGTCAGAAACTTTTACTGTCATATTTTATCTTACACTAGATTAGAATAAGATTCAACACAATAGAATAATATGATATAATATGCTTACCTTTTCCTGATACCAGGCTATTCGGGCCATTGTAATCGTCTTTCACCGTGAGGTCCTATAGTCAGGTCATTTCACAGCGAGAACAGGACGAGGCGATTCATCACTTCTGTTTACAAAACAAAACCAGGTAGGCTAACTACACAAAAAGACACAAAACCAACAAAGCTATGAACAGATACCAAAAGCATCCGCTAGCCTTTAAACTTTAGCCATAAGATGCAAAAAAAAAAAAAAAGAAGCACACAGTTAAAAGAGGAATGTAACTCACCTGATCAGGAATGGGCTAGTTGTCAAAATACGAAATCGGTGCCAAGTAATCATCACAAAAGTATTCAGACCTGACTTTTAGTGTTTCACAATTTGGAAATTAAGATATCAGCAATACATTCTGCATGACCAAACGCACAGTGAGCATTTAAACTTACATTTTACAACATTAAAAAACTTTCTCAATCCTTAACTTCCCATTTCCGGGGTTTGTTTTGTTAAACATACAGTACAATTTTTCCCTCGTTTTTGTACTTCAGGCTACAAGCGCCCGCCATCGACACACTTTAAAAAAGAAAAAAAGATAACAGTATCATATACATGATTTAATTAGCTGTAGTTGTAAAGCAGAGCATATTTAGGGTTTAATGTCGCTCCAGTTTATTCTATAATAAAGCATTATTGAAAGACAAGTCTGCCCCATGAGTCTATTTTGGGGGCAAATGCACAAACTGCACTACCAATGACATATTACAAAACATTTTATTTCACTTTCAATGTATGATGATTTATTATGACTATTATTAAGCATTAAGCTTTGAAATTTTTTTTGTATTTTTTATTTATTTTTTTTTTAATGCCATACACTAAACACTGGACAATTTCAAAAAAAATAGTTGCCTTGTTGATTGTGGGTAAGTGATGCTGATCTTTGATTATTTGGTATAATGAACCTTAAATGTATAATATGTAATTTTACTTGTGGATGGTTAATGACATCAAATAAATTTGCATTTATTTTCAAGTCATAGTCCATGCTACTTACTAGTAATTGTCACTTCACTAGACTCTTTTGTGTTGCCCGATGGTTGTTCTTGCTCTGCTGCACATACAATTTTGGCCTTAACTTTCTTGTTTGATGAGATAATAAAGTATGGACTCAGAGACGCATAACAGGAGGAAAAAAATACCCTCATATCAGCCACTACTGGTGACACCTTTGCCACAGTGAGCATGTAAATCCATATGACATTATCTATTCCAAAGAAAACAGCATAGAGTACTACCAAAGTCACCACCGTTTTGGCTGCTCTGGTTCCACCACCTTGAGTGCGTCGGATGCCCCTGACCTGGCGACTGTGGCGGTGTAGGAGGAATAGTATGTATCCACTTGACCCTAACATGAGCGCAACAAAGGCAAAGTCCCTCCCAGATACAGCGATCCCATTTATAACATAGGATAGATTGTCTCTGAAATCAACATGGCAGAAGCCAAGGTTGAGAGTAAAGGCTGGGACAGTGCCATTGCGTGGCGCCATTGAGAAAAATGGAGCAGCGATGCAAATAGCCATATTTAGGAACCACAAACTTGCAAATGTTGGTATTACAAGAGAGGGTAGAGCTGGTTTTAATCTGGAAAGATGAGGGCCAGCAGGGGCAATGGTTATAGCTTGGAATACACTCAACATACAAGTGATGCAGACTGACAAGGCACGGCCAATTCTATAGGCGTAGATCACCACTTTGCAGCCAGCGTCATTTAGAAGATCCCTAAGGCCAAACACAGTCATGGTTTGGGGTACACAGCGAGTTAGAAGCAGTAAAAGGTTGGCAAAGGCGAGGTGGCAGAGTATCATGTCCACAGGGAGAAGCTTGGGCTCAGAGTAGATAATGTGGGCATAGGCCAAAAGGACAACTGAGTTCCCCAAAATGCCCATTCCAGTCTGTAAGAGGAAGGAGACACCTTTGATGGTAACGCAAAGATCCATGATGCAAAATCTGCAAGGGCAAATATAAAGAACGGAACAAACATAAATCTAAAAATGATACAAGTTAATGACTCCAAGTCAAAGATCAATCCAACAAGTTCATAGAATTATTTTTTTCTTGTAGATCGTTATTGAGTAAAAAAATGACTAGTTACTTACTTTTTAGAATAATTCACACATTATATTGAAAAGAAACATTTTCCCCTGTAATTAATCAGAACACTCTACAGCATACTGCAATGAAACACAATTAATACTAAAAACAATATCGATGTGTCAGAATGATCATCTTACCTGAAGTGGTCAGTGAAGCGTGAAGCAAGGAGATTAATGGGCCATGTAATTTCCATTTATAGTCTTACACTTCCCATGAGATCATCAGGAAATATTAAAATGTTCAACCCAACCCTAGAATTACACCAAAATGGTCTCAGAAGACTCTGCATGCGGCCCAGGTCTGGTGGGAATAATCTTAAGGTCATGTTTTATTGGAGACGGCATTGTATTTCTTTGTGTGAAAATCACTTTGCAGTTTCATAAAGATATCAAAGAAGAAGCTGATGTGGGATAACGTTTCATTGAGAATATGTATATTGTTTAATACTGATGTTGGTGGCTGTTAGTTTATGATGTGTTTTACAAAATATTACAGTCTAAAATTTGGTTTATCTAATTCAGCACTATCATGGTCACATCCAGAGTGTTAAAGTTAAAGGGGCATACAGAAACTCACCCCTCTTTCCCCTGTACTCTTGTAAAGATAGCTCATGGTCAAATAAAGAAGAAAACATATAAAAATACTTTTAGGCCACTTTCAAAGTGTTTCAGCTGTAGTGTATAGTTTAAAGTTGTTTTGCATCTTTTATACTCCATAAAAATGAAGCCATCTCCCATAAGTTTACGTCCATGACAGCAGCGCTGACAGGCCATTGAGATAACACATTTAAATCTATGTAAATCTTGACAATTTGACTGATATGTCCTTGATCATAAATTGTACTCTGTATGAGAGCATGTCAATCTTGAGTCAAATTAAACTGTGCTATAGTCCTGTGGCATAAACACAGAGCTGGCTAACCCCTGCAGAGACAACAGTGCAGTTATCGTTGATGCCAAAGCAGCCTGATGATTCCTTGAATAAGCCATCAGGAGGCTTTTAGATACTCAGCTGGTGCTCTGGCCTCCTCCTCCACATCTTGGGAGTAAGTTAAAGACACAGAGGAGTGAGGCAATTAGGCCATAACAATGAAAGCCTGTGCTAATTGGGGGCACAGGGACACGCATTATTCATTCATGTCTTCAGTGTTCGTCTCTGACATGTGTTACGTCTGACCTTCCCCAAGTGGTAGCATGTTTTTGTCTTCCCAGTCCATTTTCAAGATTTACCAGCAGACTTTTACAGTGAAAGAGAAGTTAGCTCCTCATGGGAGCTTTCCCAGTAATAAGGAAAGGGATCATTTATTATTTTTCAGTGTGTTTTTTGTACATGTTTACACGTTCAGAGAGCTAATTAAAATGGCATGTTCAAGCATGTTGCTCTCAGGGGAGGGAGTTTTATGTGCAGAGAAATCCAGGCTATTTTCCCCAATGGCTTAGACATGTGTTCTGTTCAGGCTTGATGATGTAAATATGTTTTTATCCATTAATTTGTTCAGGGTTGTTCATTACAGCATCTGATAATTCACTTATAGGTCAAAGTTCACTTGGAAATGTAATGTTTTATGCACGCAAGCTTAGGTTAGCTTACATATGAACATTTGGGAATTAGAAAAATCATTTAATTATTAAATGTATCAACAAAAAGGTAATACGCCTACAATAATGGCTTATAAAGATATAAGGCGTAAAAGTTCTCATGGTCCACTCCCTTTTTAGTCAGAGGCACCACCCTATCTTCCCTTGCAGTGTCTAAAAGTGGGTCTAGCTACTAGCTACTGTATAGGGGTTAGGGGGTTAGGAGTTTTCTTTTTCTTCTTTTTGATTAATTCTACCCTTATTGATAACTGTAAACCATGTACATAAAACAGCTATTCATAAATAACTATATGAACAGTTAATCAATTATTGCGTCAGTTTGCTCAATTACAGTGTTGGGGAGTAACAGATTACATGAACTGGAGTTACGTAATCAGAGTACAAATTATGAGTAACTGTATTTAGTTACAGTTACTGTTTCAGTGAGTGGTAATTGGATTACAGTTACTTTGTTGAAATTAATGGATTACATGGCAGTATTTCCTTGTTTTCACATTTTGGGCTAAACCAGGACTAAACCTGGACTAAAGCAGGACTAAACCAGGACTAAAATGAGGTCTAAACCAGGACTAAAGCAGGTCTAAACCAGGACTAAACCAGGACTAAACCAGGACTAAACCAGGTCTAAACCAGAACTAAACCAGGACTAAACCAGGACTAAACCAGGTCTAAACCAGGACTAAACCAGGACTAAACCAGGTCTAAACCAGGACTAAAGCAGGTCTAAACCAGGACTAAACCAGGACTAAACCAGGTCTAAACCAGAACTAAACCAGGTCTAAACCAGGACTAAACCAGGACTAAACCAGGTCTAAACCAGGACTAAACCAGGTCTAAACCAGGACTAAACCAGGACTAAAGCAGGTCTAAACCAGGACTAAACCAGGTCTAAACCAGGACTAAACCAGGACTAAACCAGGTCTAAACCAGGACTAAAGCAGGACTAAACCAGGACTAAACCAGGACTAAAATGAGGCCTAAACCAGAACTAAACAAGGACTAAACCAGGACTAAACCAGGTCTAAACCAGGACTAAACCAGGACTAAACCAGGACTAAACCAGGACTAAACCAGGTCTAAACCAGGGCCAATTTGAAGAGAACAAATGTGAATTTTCAAGATGTGGTTGCTACATTCATGTAGTTTTAAAAAACACGACAATATCAAGTAATCCAAAGTATTCAGATTACGTTACTCACTTTAAGTAATTTATTGGATTATGTTACAAACTACATTTTGGGGTATGTAATCTGTAATCTGTAGGGGAATACATTTTAAAAGTAACCCTCCCAACACTGCTCAATTATTACCACAGTTGTTCATCAGTTGAATTAGTTTTTTAAATATTTAATTTCAAGTAAGTATTTATGGAGCTACTTGTCAAAATAATTTGCCTTGTGGATCAGTAAGTATGTATATAAGTATGTCTGAGAGTCTGAGAATGAAATCTGAGAATTAATGAAAAATATTTCACAACAAAGGTTGTTGTTCTGATTGGAAAGTACCTGCCCCAGAGCAGGAGCTAAAAATCCCCAAAGTGTGACCCCAATCCCTATTTCCTATCTGTGTGAACTTGTATCCAATGGCAATCACAAAAAGATTTCCTTCAGTACTTTACTGTCCTCATAGGAACATTTTTCCTCTGCATTTGACCCATCCCTCAATGACACTGGGGCAAACTCTTAGGAGCAGTGGGTACTGTAGTGCTGCATTCTGGGATCTGTCTCCAGATTTTGAGCTAGGTTTGGTCAGGAGGATTGAACCTGTTTTGCTTG